TGTAGAAAGGGAAGGTGATCGATCTCGAGAGGGTAGTGCGGAGAATAGCACCGCCCAGCAGCAGCAGGGAAACGAGTAAAAGCCAGGACTGCGGGGCGGGTGCTGGCTGATATTAAAAGAGCCCCAAGGATTTCGATCTCACAAACCCATGATGGGAACAGCCTAATCATCAAGGGCGAAGTCAACGGAACGCCGTGTAAACTGACCATAGACACTGGAGCCTCTCGCACGGTTGTCAGTTCCCAACTTATAAGTCGGTTCCTTGGGGACTCCGCATACAACCGAGAACGCATTAATTTGGTGACAGCCACCGGTCAGCGCATACCCGTCCGTGGAGAGAAGGAGATGGAGTTGAAGCTAGGCAACATGATCTACCTGCATAATGTCATCGTGGCTGATATAATGGACGACTGCATCCTGGGCCTAGACTTTATGAGGAAGAATTGTTGTAAGATCGACGTTAAGCAAGGTGTTTTGAAATGTGGACAAGAAGAACTTTTCGTGGAAGGGGCGTTACCAGGGAATGTCTACAGCCTTAAGAAGATTGTTCTTCCGCCGAGATCGGAAACGATTGTGCCGGTTAGTCTTCCTCGGAGTCCTGGGCAAGCCCATCGTTGTGTACTCGTGGAAAGGGTAGACAATGACCTTCCATGGAAAGTGGCTCGAACCTTGGTCAGAACCACCGACATCTCAGGAGTACGTGTGTTGAACCTTTGTGATCAGGAACAGATTATAGAAAAAGGCACGTTGGTTGGTACTAGTGAGGAAGTGGATTGGTTGCGTCGATGCGAATATCTATCGACCGGGACCCCCAGCAAGGATGGACAAACGATAGTGACCACACTTTTGGAAGACTGTCGCAGCGTTCTCTCCCCGGATGAAATGGTCAAGGCGAAGAAGTTGTTACTCAAGTACGCCAATGCTTTCTCGTCAAACGAAGCTGACATAGGAAAGACTGGCTTAGTTCAACACAAAATAAACACAGGACAAGAATTGCCTATTCGTCAGCGGCCAAGAAGATTGCCTGTAGCACGTGAAAAGGAAGTGGAAACCATGATTGAGGGAATGGTGAAGGATGGTGTTATTGAACCTTCATCTAGTCCATGGTGTTCACCTGTGGTGCTGGTAAAGAAGAAGGACGGCAGCATGCGGTTTTGTGTTGACTACCGCCGCCTGAACGACGTTACAAAGAAGGACAGCTATCCCTTGCCAAGAATTGATGACACGCTGGATATGCTTACAGGCGTAAAGTGGTTTAGTACGCTAGATCTGAAAAGTGGCTACTGGCAGGTTGAAATTGACCCTAAGGACAAGGAGAAAACTGCATTCTCCACAGGAAAGGGTCTGTGGCAATTCAAAGTCATGCCGTTTGGATTGTGCAATGCTCCAGCAACGTTTGAAAGGTTGATGGAGCTTGTACTTACCGGGCTAATTGGAGATGCTTGTCTGGTCTATTTGGATGACATCATCATCGTAGGCCGTACGTTTGAGGAACACCTTCAAAACCTGGAACGTGTGCTCATGAAGATCCAGAGTGCCAACCTCAAGTTGAGTCCAAAGAAGTGCTTACTATTCAAACGGCAAGTTAGTTTTTTGGGGTATGTAGTGTCGGAAGAAGGTATCCGCACGGATCCAGAGAAAATTGCTGCTGTCAAGGAGTGGCCGGTCCCAAAAGACAAGACACAGGTTAGAGCATTTTTGGGTTTGTGCTCTTATTATCGGCGATTTGTGAAGAACTTTGCAGATATAGCCAAACCTCTGCACAAGCTAACCGAGGAGAAGCGACAATTCTGCTGGGATGAAAGTTGCGATATTGCATTCCAGGAGCTCAAGAACCGCCTGTGCAAAACACCTATTTTGGGGTACCCTGATGCGGGCAAGGAATTCATAGTTGACACAGACGCAAGTGATATAGGACTTGGCGGTGTGTTGTCTCAACGGAATGGTGATCAAGAGATTGTGATAGCGTACTTCAGCAAGTCCTTGTCAAAGCCGGAAAGGAACTATTGTGTCACAAGACGGGAATTGCTTGCTGTGGTAAAGTCCTTGCAGCATTTTAGCAAATATCTTCTAGGGCGGAAATTCCACTTACGAACTGACCATGCTGCACTGAAATGGCTATTGCAGTTCAAAAATCCGGAAGGACAAGTTGCGAGATGGATAGAACTACTGCAGGAATACGACTTTGTGATCGAACATCGCAGCGGGAAATCTCATGGCAATGCAGATGCATTGTCAAGAAGACCTTGCCCTGAAGATTGCAAGCATTGTACTAGGCAAGAGGGTAAGGAAGTGGTATCTGTGAGAATGCTCAGGACAGACCAGCTCAGCAATGAGTGGAAGGACAGCCTACAACATGCACAGCAGGAAGATTCGGACATTAAGCCGATTCTGGAATGGATGAAGGCCAGTGCTCCTAAGCCCAAGTGGAGCGACGTCTCAGCAATGAGTTCGACCACAAAAAGCTATTGGGCCCAATGGGACAGCTTGCTGATTCAGGATGGAGTCCTGTGCCGTAAATGGGAAAATGGTCGGGGAGACAGGTGTCATTTGCAAATGGTTGTCCCTAAGGCTAAAGTGCCGGATATTCTACAGCTGTACCATAGTGGTTGTTCAGGAGGCCACCTGGGAGTTAAACGAACTCTCCTGAAGATCCGAGAACGGTTTTACTGGGTCCACTGTCGTGACGATGTCCAGGACTGGTGCCGCAAATGTACAAGTTGTGCGGCTGTAAAGGGACCTCAAATTCGTAGTAGGGGCGCATTGAAAGTGTACAATGTTGGTGCACCATGGGAGAGGATAGCCATTGACGTTGCGGGGCCGTTTCCAGAAACTGAAAGTGGTAACAAGTATTTCATGGTCGTGATGGATTACTTCACTAAGTGGCCAGAAGTCTTCGCCATTCCAAATCAAGAAGCTTCAACCGTTGCAGATAAACTAGTTCATGAAGTCTTCTGTCGTTTTGGAGTACCTTTAGAGATTCACAGCGATCAAGGAAGGAATTTTGAGTCTCAAATATTCCAGGAAACTTGCCGAGTTATGGGTACTCAGAAAACACGAACAACTTCTTACCACCCACAATCTGATGGAATGGTAGAAAGATTTAATCAGACATTGGAGAGGTACCTAGCAAAAGTTGTGGAAAAACGACAACGAGACTGGGATAGGCAAATACAACCGTTTTTGTTGTCATATCGAAGCGCTGTTCACGAAAGTACATCAGTGACACCAGCTTACGTAAACTTTGGGAGAGAATTGCGGCTGCCTGCAGACCTGATCACCGGAATACCACCTGATGCCCCACGCAGTATAACCGATTATGCAAATGACTTGCGGAACAAAATGAATGACATTTATGAGCACGTCAGACAGACGGGCCAGCAAACGTCTGAGAAGATGAAAACACGGTATGACCGCAAAATGAACAACAAGGGGTTTGATGAAGGTTCTCTAGTGTGGTTACACAATCCAGTTCGCAGCAAAGGGAAATCTCCTAAGCTTCAAGCTAAATGGGACGGACCGTACCGGATTGTGACAAGGATCAATGACGTAACCTACCGGATACAGAAAGGTGCCAGAGGTACTCCTAAGATTGTCCATGTGGATCGACTGGCGCGTTATTATGGGGCCAATAATGCTCGGGACGAGCATGTCTTAGGAGGGGGCAGTGTTACGCGCCACTATTAATGTCTTGTACATGGCAACACTAGTTACACTAGCGCCCCCTAGTGTCGAGTAAATGAAAGTATTGCGCGCCACTATTAATGTCTTGTACATGGCAACACTAGTCACACTAGCGCCCTCTAGTGTCGAGTAGCAGAACTAGGAGAGTCGAGATCCTTCCAGAAATTTCGGGACCGATATGTACTCGAACATTCTAGATGTCGCTACAGTAGAAGGTTCTGGAAACTATCTGCGGCCCTATATAAGGCCGGTATAGACCACGACCGGGGCAGTATTGAATTGGCGATACAAGAGAATACTTCGAAGCGAAATAACGGCGAACTGTGTTTTATTATTAGTGTGATTTTAGATTGTAATTCGTGTTGTGTAATTAAAGTGTTAATTTTGGTAATTCTATCGGCAGTTTTTAATTGTCTCGAACCCCAAGTTCGTAACAATACTATAATAGACGGCTCCGTGGCGCAGTGGCTTAGCAATCAGTTGTTGCGCTGGGGGCAGCGGGTTCCAATCCCGCACGGAACAAGCATTTGTATGGCCTACAAATAATTGTTCCGGGTCTGGATGTTTGTCCTTGTGCAATTTATGTTTGTAAACTGCCTCCACGACACAGGAGAAAATCCTAGTGTGGGGGTAATAAAAAAAAGAATATACATAAATATATTTTTAAATACTAAAAATTGACACTACTAAAATTAGGAAACTTAAATTATCTAATTATGAAGTCTTTTATTTTTATTAATGATAGGGCTAATTACCCTTTTTTATTTATAAACAGAACTAGAAAGACAAAAAGAACTTCACGACAGTAGTCGAATGGTGGATTCGAACCAAAAACTTTCTGAGTTTGCTGCCCGCACTTAACCATTAGGCTACAACTTACGCTTACCAAAACTAATCTGAATTAGCGAAGTAGGAAACAGCTTTACCAGTGCGAGGTTAATATTTTTGCACTTATCAATCAATCGCAGTCAATACCTAAGGGAATTTTTAAGCTATGCTATGCATGTTAGTTACATAGGTATTCTTGAAATTATATTATGTACATTAGTAAATTTAAAGAGATTTTTTTTGTAAAATACTAGTAATGCTATTAAACATTACTAATATTCCCTTTAACCACTTCTGGTAAGCTTAAAATGCTTGTGTTAGAAGTGGTTCACGACTGTAGTCGAATGGCGGATTCGAACCCACGACCTTTAGAGTTCGCGGTCCTCGCCCTGCCATTACGCTACTGACGCTTTTAGATCTAATAAAGAAGGAGAGGACAACATGAATAAGCATTCTGATTATATTTCTCACGATATCTATTTTAACAGATGCAGCAGCCAGTGTACCAGGAACAGCAGCAAGGGTAAGTTTCATAAGCATTTTTTTTATAGAATAACACAAACTTGTGGCAAACGAGGACACAGTCCACCAGGTAACCGGTTCAGTGCGGATGACACGCCAGGCGTGCCATCGATTACTTTTGTGTGTGGCGTATGACACACGAGTCGTGTCTTTTTTTTTTTACTGGAAATGAGGCATTCCATCTTAGTCCTCACGGGTGACAACGCATCTACATTTTGGATAGATGTAGATGTCTATGGGCCGCAGCAACCACTTACCATCAGGTGGATTGTGTGCTCGTTTGTCACCCTTATCCTATAAAAAAAAAAGAGTCGTGTCTTTTTAAAAATCGTTATAACTCACTCAAATTGCGTTTTTGGAAAATTTATCCAGAACAAAATATTCATTATGTTGCAAGTAGTTATTGCCTGCAGCTTCGTTTCTGGATATTTTGAAAATTTGAAATTTTTAGGGGTTGACAGCCTTTTTTTAACTTGTACATGATACTCTTTTTACTTTGTGGGTTTTCAATCATGTTGTGGAAAAATAGTCTAAAAAGTAACAAATAATAGCACTCATTGCGATCGCTCTCGAAACTCTAGTTGTAAGTTAAGTTAAGTTGTAAATAAATTTCTGGAAAACAAGTCTCCTGTTAAAAAAAACAATGCGTTTATCTTATTGTTTAAATTTGCTTAAAATGGTTGAACTGCCGTCTTATTACTATCATATGGCCTACGAAGTACCATGTGCTCTTGTCATATGGTATAAGGTTTATTTTTGCTTGAAACAGTTTGAAACCGTTCATGCATAAAAAAAGTTCGCTAATAAACAGTCTTTCATCAATCCGTCGCCGTATAGAGCCGGCGTTTGTTTCCTTTTGAGAACACTTGTTTTGCTGTTCTTACTAATTAGACTTTTTCAGATCGACTTTACTTTTACATTTGTATAACATTAAATAATATTTAACATTTGTAAATTTTTTTCCAAATTAAGGTTCTTGATTGTTTGATATTTACAAATGTTTTTATTAGGTGAAAATTTAATTTAATAAAAACCAAGGTTTTCCAGGGTGATTTAGCTGTACCTACTTATATAAATTATTTTTTTATAAAACAAAAAATATTGATTAAATCTATTTTTACGGATTTTATCGCGTTTAATTAACTTATTTTATATTCCCGACGTTTCGGTTGCTTTCCAGCAACCGTGGTCACGGGGGACTAAGGTGATTGACGTCCCGATGTCAGAGTTAAACCGGAGTACCTTCAGCTTTTTTAATTAATAATTTTGGTCCTATCTACGCAGAATGAACTAACTGTGTCTTGAAGTCTTGCAGTGGTATGCTTGGGTTTAGTTTTAATTTTATGAATTACAGGATCCCAAGCAGGTGGTAGTACCCAGCCTCCCTCTCTATTGAAATTAGGATGGTTTTTAATTTCAATAGCCTCACGTATCATCCTTGGCAGGAATCGATGTTCTTTCGCGAGAACTTGTGGTTTATCAAATCTAATGTAATGGCGGGGGCCGTCTAGGATATGATCACAAACTGCAGACTTCCCGGAACGTTGGTGCTTCACGTCAGCTATGTGTTCTTTTACGGGGGTTTTTATAGATCGTTTTGTTTGCCCTATATATGAGAGACCACACTCACAATCAAGCTTGCATACTCCTGCATCTTGTAGAGGAATATTGTACTTGACGGATGGTAAGAACTGACTAATCTTATTCGGTGGCTTGAAGAATGTTTTAATAGAAGCTCGCTTCAAGATGTAGCCAATCTTGTTTTTGACACCTCTGACATACGGTGATACAGCAGGCACACGCTCGACTGTGGCCGGCTTCACTCGGTCACTGTGACGTAGGCGCGGAACCCGAAGCTTGTTGTCGTGCAGAACCTGCTTGACGTGCTGAAGCTCGGCGGCCAGGTGTTTGCTGTCACAGATCCCTCGTACTCTCTGTAACAAAGATTTGCCCACGGTAGCTAACTGTGAAGGGTGATGGTGGGATTTACCGTTTAAATATCGGTTAAGAAATCATTAAACAAAAAATAGTACAAAATGTTTGTAATCTCTGCATAAAAAAGTCACTTACTCTCAATTTCAAAGAAAACACGTAGAAAAACACGTAGTTACCCACTAAAATCAAGTATCCTTCCGTTTGTAACTGATGTTTGATGTCAACTAAACTTAATTAGGTCTAAACAAGTGAAAAAAGCATAAAAAAATAATTATTTTTACACATGGCTGATGGCACAATAGACTTGCGTGGCGCTTGACACGCCAGGCGTGTCATGGAATATTTGTTCGCCGCCATAGCTAAAAGTTGTGGAAAATTGGTGCCGCAACGAATCGGGTAAGTGGATGCTGTGGCCTAAACATTTATTCTCGGTTAAAAATCAAAATGTAGATCCGTTTTCACACCTGAGGACTAATATGAAATGCCCCTGCGTCCCGTAAAAAGGTTTTCGGTTTTCTACACTCACCATACGAAATATAGCAGCATTAAGCTGCTATTTCATGCTGGTATTTTGTGAGAGCGTGGTCCTTCCTCGGTCGAGCCGACACCTTCCAGCTATAAACAATATAACTGGAGCATGGCTCCACGAAAAAAAAATTCCATCCATTAAAGCCTGTCAAAAGGCCACTGCTGAACATAGGCCTCCCTCATAGATTGCTTTACAGGGTGGGGATTTGACATTTGACATTGCAAGGGTTAGTGACCGCAGTTTTTTATTATTTTGAGTTGTTAAGGATTCTGCTACGTAGAGAGACCCATCTCCTGTTCTATTTTGGCTCTGTCGCCTCTTACGACACCCACAGAACACACGGCGTTAAAGGATCCACTTCCCCACATCACTTTGTATTAATGTCATATTATAATGTCCTCTAGACCAAATTTCAGTCACGGCGACCAGCCTCAACGGAGACTAGCTATCGGCGTAGGACAGGGTTATAGTGCCCAAGTGTACGCGCTCTCACAGGATCGAAGAGAGATCAGGCGCAGGACCAACGGCTTTACGTGCTTGCCGAGGCACGGGGGAGAGACACCGCCAATTTCCGGACTCAGGGCCGCTACTGAGAATTTCTTGATGGAAAATTTAATAACTGATTTTATTGGCCCGACCCGGGATACGAACCTTGGACCTCATGATCAGCAGTCGCACTACTACAACCATTAGACCAACGAGACAGTCAAATGTTATATTATATTATATTAAATATAATACATAATATATTTCATTAGAAATGTAGGTTTCCTCACGATTTTACTTTACAGCCGAGAGCTTTTTTGAGAACAAAATTGCAATTTACCTATTATTTAAAATTCCTATATTATTACGTGTTACACTAATGATGTAAAACCACAGAATAAACAATAGTCTAAGGAGCTTGAGAGTTTTCAAAATTTAATAAGTTTTTTTTTTTATATTTTAGCAGCCAGCAGGGAGGTCAACAGATGCTGCTATGTCCCGTGCGACTGGTGTACGAGACTCAAGTGTTGGTTCAACCAGGTAAATTGATTATTTCTAATAATTTAATATTGTTGTAGTTTATAATTAATTTAATAAACAAAATTCAATGTACCTACGTTTTTAGTATTTTGCACTCAATCGAAACGGATACTCTTAAGGAATCATCTACAAGTCTCTTAGCCTACTTCCACAGTCGTTTTTCTCATAATCTATTTTCACGTAGGTGATTGTTGAATTCGTCAATTTTAAAATATAATAAGGAGATATATAAATTGCCCTATAACCCTCTCTGAAATCTTATTTCTGCCAGTAATGGGATTGAACGAAAATTATTAGGATTGATAAAACTAGCAATTTATTACGACGTTAAAATAATTACTCGTTAAGCTTGCAATTCTCCGATATTTATTAAGAATGTATCCACTACCGCATCATAGATGAAATAGTTATAAAATTAATTTATCATATATTTTTATACGTGGTAGAGTCACGCTTCAGCTGCATTGGTCGTATCACGAATTGGTCGGCTCGACCGGGGTAAAACCACGTTCTCACAGAATACTAATTTAAAATAGCAGCTTAAGGCTGCTGTGTGTCGTATAGCGAGTGTAGAGAACCGGAGATCCTTTTTACAACGTGACAACGCATCTGTATTTTGATTCTTCGTGGAGGATAAATGTAGATGTCTATGAGCCACAGCATCTACTTACATCAGGTGGATTGTGCTTGTTTGTCACTCTTATTCTATAAAAAAACAGCCTTTTTAATCATCTGCTTTTCATCTCCATCTTTTTTTTATATAGGATAGGGTGACAAACGAGCACACAGTCCACCTGATGGTAAGTGGTAGCTGCGGTCCATAGACATCTACAACTATCCTCGTTTGCGAATCAAAATGCAGATGCGTTGTCACCCGTGAGGACTAATGCCTCTTTTCCAGTAAAAAGGGTCTCCGGTTTTCTACACTCACCATACGAAACACAGCAGTGTTAAGCTGCTATTTTACGCTGGTATTCTGAGAGAGCGTGGTCCTTCCCCGGTCGAGCCGACCCATTCGTGCTACAACTATACTACTAATATAGCTGCAGCATGGCTCTACTACGTATAAAAATCTTATAGGTAATCTTGTTGGGAAAATTTGCTATTACGCCCATGGTTTTTTGGTCGGTGAAGTCTACTTTAATTACTTACTATTACCATGTCAATCAGTAATAAAATTGATCAGACGTCTTGCCTTTGCAATTGCAATTTAAATACTCCTCGCTGTCTGTCTGTTTGTCTGCGTTTATATGTGTATTTTAAGTTCATTTGGGATAACTCAAAAGTGAGGGGCTTAAAGTAATTCAAGTCGAGTCGAAAACGTTAAATCTGTTAAGGCCACAGGGTGAACACATATCACGTCTCTCATGTTATGTGACTATAAATAAATAATCGTAATTTATTTCAGGTGATCAAATACAACCAAATCAGACTATATTCATAAACACCCAAAATACACCGCCATGGATACAGAACAGACCTCAAAATCAAGTGATATATGTCCAGCAAATGGCGCCAAACAATTATATGCCTCATATACAACAGCAATCAGGTCAAAATCAGATTTATATGCACCAAAACTTCAACAATTATCAGCAAATTATGCCTCAGCAAATAATGCCCCAACAACTTATATCTCAAACGCAGCACGAAGAAGTAAGATCAGCTAACGTCCAAATGGCGAATATGTTATCAAGGAATACAGTCCAAAGTTTGCAACCTGGCCCTGTTTCAAATAACCAAAATACACCAAATGAATCTACAGTAGGATCATCGGTATCAAATTTTGGAATAGTACCTTCGTATTATACAAATACGCCAAATCAAATGGGCCAAAATCAAATCAGTTTTATACCCTCGAATGTAAGCAACAAACAAATTATTACAAATGTACAGGCACCCCCTAAGCCGATCCCAACAAATACAATAGCTTTTCCAAGGAATACTGAAATGCAACATAATGTATATAGGCCATTAGTGCAACAAACGTACCAACATGAGAATAACGTGATACCAACGTCTCTGTCACAGTCTATAACAATGGTTCCAATGCAGAATAGGCCAACAATTCAAAAAGCTACAGCCAATAATACGGTAGATCAAAACGTTGCACAAATACGCCCATTGCAATCTCAAATTGTTAATACACCAAGCTTAACTCAACCTATTGTTAATACAGTTTCAAATATAACAAATGAACGCATAATGAGAAAGGTGGCAACAGTTGTACCGAAAGGAAATAACACAATTAGCACCTTATTAAATACAGGCCCTAAAAATACTCCTAATTACACCTATAGACCTATTCAACCTAGGCCACAACAGCAAAGAAATACAATACCTAATATAATTCCGACAAATAATTACGCACCTGTCATTGTACCTATGCAACCATCCAATTTAAATAATAATATTAATAATTCTAAATATGTAATACCCACAACATTTCCGCCGAGTTTAGTTAAAACCGAACAAAATGTCTTTAATAGAAAAAGGAAAAGTGAGTCACCAGATGAGATTCAAAATAAAATGTTCATTAATAATATAACCCAAGGAAATATTGCCGTGGTACCGACGGCAATCACAACAGCTTTTACTGACGTTGGAGTAAACACAATGCCAATACAAAAAACAGTTGACCAAATTGGGATCACAAAGTTAAATAATCAAAGTATAACAATAAACCGACCGAATGAGGGAATACTAAATATTAAAGACAACCCACAACGGATAGAAAATCAAGTGGATAAAGATGTTAATTCAAAGCAACAAAGCGAATCGGAAAAATTGCTAAGAAATACTGTATTTACTCAAGCTAGAAACCGAGTTTTAGCTGATAAACAAGAAATAGTTAATACCAGTACGGTTAGAATAGAGACACAAGCTTCTGATGTTGAATCTTCACCTAATAAGGATATGAAAAAAGATTTAACCGAAAACACTAACTGTATTAAACAAATAAAAATCCAGCATCCAACAGTTGTTGATGCAAAAAAAGATGAAGAAAGCGATAGGAATGAATCGAATAATGAACCAAAATTTAAAGAGATAAATTTGCTTGGGAATAGTAAAATGAACGATGAGAATGGCTTTGTTTTAACGCATGTTCTCGACGGCTACGTGATTCAAGAATCAAATATTGCTTTCCCAGTAAGTATTATTGCAACTATTACATATACAACACCTATATGCAGGCAATTTCTAAATTCCACTTAAATAAGTAGAATAAATTTTTGAATCTTATTAACCGTTCCCGTTTATCGCTGTCTAATACAGTACATAGCCCACAGCATAAATCCAAATTGTGACAATTTGTCGTAATTGCCAGACTTTGCAGTACCAGCAGTATAAAAATACAAATTAAATTGTTATATAACTTATTTCGTTCGAATATAATCTAAACAAAAAAACATTTTTTAATATTTTTTCTTTTATAATACTTTCGTATCTTTTTTATATAGAATAGGTGACAAACGAGCACACAGTCCACCTGATGGTAAGTCGTTACCAGTAAAAAGGGTCTCCGGTTCTCTACACTCACCATACGAAACACAGCAGCATTAAGCTGCTATTTTACCCTGGTATTCTGTGAGAGCGTGGCCCTACCCCGGTCGAGCCGATACATTCGTGCTACAACCATATTATGGCTGCAGCGTGGCTCTACCACGTATTTAATATCTTCACCTCTCTCCACAGTCTAAATTAAAATAAGTTGTCAAACTAAAATAAGAAACTATAGGAAACTTGGATGGTAATTATGTGTTGGCTCATTTCAGATCAGAAAACCTTTGAAAGAAAAAACAGTGCAACCAAATGTTAAAGAAATGGAAGTTTCGAAAGAACAAGAGAAAAAAGAAGATTCTAAAAACATTCAACCGGACTTGAGCAGCAACAAGATCTTTAATATATCATTTTTACAATTAAAAGAGGCTGAAGCTCAGAACAGACTGAATAATGATGAGAGAGTAGAAGACTGCAAAGATAAAGTCTCTAATAGAGGTAAGTATTGCAGTTTTATTAACTTTTTCACTCATTTGCTTCTTTGTGAAATATGTACTTATAAAACATGGTTAGTTTAACTGTTTAACAAATAAAAAAATTATCTTGTTCTATGCCCTAGACTTTATATTATCTGTGACATATTTTTCTTAAACGTCTTATACACAGTCCATCTTGACGTACGTCCCGCCAAGGTCATGCACGATGCACGATGCAAAACGACAATGAGAAAGGTAATGACGTACGTCAAGTAACGTACGTCAAGCCTATTATAGTCAAGCCGTTTTATACTCAACCTATGGAGTATAGAGTACAAGGAGAACCATCTTATAAGGGGCGAAAGTTGAAAAAGTGTCCTACTGTGTATTTACTGAAAATAAAAAATTCATGACTAGAGTAGTTAGTAAAATGCCAGTATACAAAATCTCAACTATTTACGTAGTACAAAACCAAGCGGATTGGTCAGTCCTTGTTTATTTCTCCATCTTATTCTAATGAATTTTGGCGCTTTTTGTAAAACTTATCCTATGCTACTGCAGCGCCACCCTTATTGGACACGTTTTTAGGGACACTTTTCATATATAGAGATGGTCCTCCTTCTACTCTACACTCCATAACTCAACCAAATCTAAAAACTACTTTTTGACAGCTGTCAGACTTATTGCAATAGGCATGCCAACCAAAAAAATCGGTACATACAATATTCGATACTTTAGAAAATTCGATATCGATTATTTAGAGTTGGTAATCATTTAGTTTTGTTTCGATTAATACCAGAATAAATCTATACAAATAAATAAAATTGAAGTGTCTGTTTGTAATGTCAAAATTACAGCTTTTTACTAAATGCATATATGGTACTAATAACAAAAATACAATTTTTAAAGTTTTTGTCTGTCTGTCTGTTTGTTCCGGCTAATCTCCGAAACCGCTGGACTGATTTTGACAGGATTTTCACTGGCAGACAGCTGATGTCATAAGGAGTAACTTGGCTACTTTTATTTTGGAAAAATAATTAGGGTTCAAAAAAATTAATACCCCAAATAACACGCGGACGAAGTCGCGGGGAACTGCTAGTTAGAATTAATTTAAAACACAAGATTTAGCGCTTTCTTAGTATTTATTATTACCGCTTATTTCTAGAGGCAAAGTTGTATAAATTTAAATTTTGAAATTATATTATGAATAAATTTATTCAGTCACTTTCACTACAACTAGTTAAGCTGTCGTTGTTTAGATTAATTGTTATTAGATTTTCAATAATGTAGTCAAAATGAATGACTCTTTCAAAGTCATCCATAATAACTTTCTTTGTTTTCTCAAACACTTTTGCCCAATTATCCTTTGTGACATGAGTAAATGCTTCATTCGGCAAACCTTCCATTTTCTACATAATGCATAAGATATTTTCATCTTGTGTGTCTTTAAATAGAGTTAATAATATATTTGCATTAAGAACATTTCATATAAGAATTAACCTTTGATTAGGGCCCAAACCAATTCAATAGCATTATAATGGTAGTGGTATGGTGGTAGTTTTGTGATATTCGCAGGAATATTTTATAAAAGGGTTATAAACCACTCTGAACTATTCTGCATCTATTTCCTCATCGTATTCTCTTGTTCTCTTATATTGGAAAGCGAATAAACAATTTTCTACAAATCCTCCTCCGGCGGTTCCCGCATTACCTTTTCCTACGGGCAACTTCGAGCAAAATGCTGCAGTGTCATCGTTTCATCAACGAATATGACGTTGTCCCAATTGGTTAAATTTTTATTTCTATTAAAAATGTTATTCTTTGCAACGCTATGTCATGCTTCTCTATAATTACTTTGCGTTTATGAATTTTTTTGTATCGAAAACGCATACGTTTTATAAGGGTTCTCAAAGACTATACTACCATTGTTTAAACCGCCATCTACTAAACTTTCTTGCAACTAAGCCGCAGAATGATATTCTTATTTAGATAATATCATAAATACATAATAATATTAGATATTATTATTTATGATATTCCAGTATATAACTTGCCAAGGTCAACGAATATAGTAAAATCAGTCCAAAAAGTTATAGCCGAGTTACAAAATAAGACAAACACATAATCACAAAAATACGCACAGTAAGCTTCCAAGATGGCGGGAGATGGAATTAAGTTGTGAGTTTCTTTGCCTACACAAATTTACACTGATAAAGTAGGAAATTGTAAAATAAATAAACTTGTTTTATTCATGATTCAAATAATTTCAGCAATTCTAAAAATAAAATTTAAATAAACAGATAATATATTAAAACTTTTCAAGATTCCATTAATTGAACATTTTTACCGATTATTGGCATAACAATGAATTTTAATCATTCAAACAAATGCATGCGGCGGGACTTACGCAAATTCAATACAGCTCGTATTGAAGAAGCGATCGAGCGGAACCGAGGCTCCAAAGTCTTTGCCAGAGATCTGTCTGCCAGAAAGCGCCAACTGTCAAAGCTGAAGACAGAGTGTGGCAGCATCGTTTCCGGGGCACCTGAGATTTTGAGTGAGATTGAGAGGTTCTATGGGCAGCTGTACACGTCATCGTTGGAGCCGCACGCAAGTGTGAGTAACGATCCAAGAGCGAGTCGTATCCGACATTATTCCGATGATATCCCGGACGTCAGTCTGAGCGAGATTAGAATGGCTCTCCAGCACCTTAAAAACGGCAAGGCCCCAGGCGAGGATGGAATTACAGCGGAGCTTCTGAAAGCGGGTGGAAAACCGGTACTTGAAGTCCTTCAGAAGCTCTTTAATTCCGTCCTCCATGGTGGCATTACACCGGAGGCGTGGAGCAGAAGTGCGGTGGTCTTGTTCTTCAAGAAAGGCGACAACGCTCTCTTGAAGAACTACAGACCGATTTCCCTTCTGAGCCGCGTCTACGTGCTGTTTTCGAGAGTCATTACGAATCGTCCCGCGCGCAGACTTGACGACTTCCAGCCTCCCGAACAAGCCGGTTTCCGAAAAGGCTTTAGCACCATAGACCACATACATACCCTTCGGCAAATTGTACAGAAGTCCGAGGAGTACAATTTGCCACTATGTCTGGCGTATGTGGACTATGAGAAAGCCTTTGATTCCGTCGAAATTTGGGCGGTGCTGCAGTCCCTTCAGCGATGCCAAGTTGACTGTCGGTATATCGAAGTGTTGAAGTGCTTGTACAGTAGGGCTACGATGGCTATCCGAGTACAGAACCAGAGTACGAAACCTATCCAATTGCAGAGAGGTGTAAGACAGGGTGACGTCATATCCCCGAAACTCGTTACCGCTGCATTGGAAGATGCTTTCAAGCTTCTGGACTGGAAAGGATACGGTATCAACATCAATGGCGAATACATCACTCACCTTCGATTTGCCGACGATATAGTCCTTATGGCAGAATCGCTGGAGGACCTAAGCACTATGCTCAATGACCTCAATAGTGTTTCCCAACGGATAGGTCTTAAGATGAACATGGACAAAACAAAGATCATGTTTAATGTCCATGTCACACCTATGCCGGTAGTTGTTGGGAACACTAAGCTCGAAGTTGTTGACGAGTATGTTTACCTGGGACAAATAGTCCGACTAGGTAAGTCCAACTTCGACCGAGAGGTCAATCGACGGATTCAACTCGGTTGGGCAGCGTTCGGGAAATTACGGCACATCTTCTCGTCAGGTATACCTCAAAACTTGAAAACGAGACTGTACACCCAGTGCGTGTTGCCAGTGATGACATACGGAACTGAGACGTGGTCCTTCACTGCTGGCCGGATGAGGAAGCTCAAGGTCGCTCAGCGAGCTATGGAGAGGGCTATGCTCGGAGTTTCTCTGCGTGATAAACTCAGAAATGAGGATATCCGCAGTAGAACTAGAGTGACCGACATAGCCCAACGGATTAGTAAGCTGAAGTGGCAATGGGCCGGCCATATAGCTCGAAGAACCGACAACCGATGGGGAAGAAAGGTTCTCGAGTGGCAGCCTCGTACCGGCAGGCGAAGTGTAGGGCGTCCCCCCACTAGATGGAGTGACGACCTGGTAAGATATGCAGGAAGTCGATGGATGCAGGTGGCTCAGGACCGTGTTTTGTGGCATTCTTTGGGGGAGGCCTATGTTCAGCAGTGGACTTGTGAAGGGCTGTAATGATGATGATGATGATGATGAAACACTACGGTGAGGTACATAGCGACATATCATTGAAACAACGTCACGCAAAAAGTTGACTGGTAATTTTCTATAGTTTGTTGTTGACTGGTAATTTTCTATAGTTTGGTTTTTTAACATTCGTACTTAAATTAGTGATAAAGAACTATAAATGTTTTAATGAAATATAGATAACTTCATAGTTCTTTGGACTTACGTGAAAGGTTATTTTAAATCGCGTGAGTACGCTTGTACAAAGTTATTGCGGAATAATTAATGTGAAACGTCAAAAGGTATTTCTTAGATTTGGTTGAGTATAGCAATTAATTCAGGACCAACTGTCTATCTATCTGTCTATTATTTAATATTATTTAACGGACATTGCTGGTTATATGTAAGTCATATTGCAAACATGATGATTCTAAGATTGTTTGTAATGTGTCCCAAGTTGTACATAATAGCCTGTTTTAAAAAATACGGGACACAGATGAATATTATTTAACGAACATTGCTGGTTATATTCAATTTGTTACATTGTTTTTAATATTCGTTAAATTATAAATATTAAATTACGATTGCCACGGTACAGTAAAAAATTGTCTTTGCTTTTTTTTACGTTAACTCCACATTAGGATTTTTTCCTACATAGTGGGGCAGTTTACATATACAAATTTCACAAATACAAACATTCAGACCCGGAGAAATTATTACCCGCGGCTCTTAGCACGACAACTCATTGCTAAGTCACTGCGCCACGGAGCCGTCAAAATGTTTAATTAAAATGTTTTTGTTTTTCAGATAATCCTTTTACCGAATTTAAAGCACCTACAATAAAGACATGGACGGTAAGCATAAGTTAAAGTTATTTTCCAGTCTTGCCATACAGTAAATATAACAGAAATTCTTGCTAGGTAACTGTGATTTTTTTCATGCAAATATTTGACGCATGGTGTCGGTGTAATAAAATCTATCACTTCATTTCTACCTGTGTGTGTTGTAAGAGGCAACTATGGGAAATGCAAGAAAGATCGTACGGCTTCCGATAGGTGGTGATAGAATTACCTCTTTCCGACATCGGAAAGCAATTCCTGTAAAGCGTAAAAAATTGACAGACGAAATGAGCTATGGAAGAGTTTTAAGCAAAATCCGGGCAATTTAGAAATTGAAACAAAATTCAAGAAAGAAAGAAATGAAACCTTCGAACTTATACAAACTACAAAAAATGAATACTACAATAAAGTCTTTAAAACTTGTATCGGTAAGTCTTCCAAAATGTGGCAACTTATAAATAACCTATCAAACAACAAAACAAAAGACAATTTTGCACCCACTTGTCTATTAAATGCTGAAGGCACTATTACGGACCTGCAAAACATCTGCGAAAAATTTAATGAATATTTCGCAAATATAGGTATTATTCTGGCAAGGCAATTCCCATCTCAGTATCATCAAAAATATTTACATACAGTGCAAAATAGACCAAATAAATTAATTAATATATTTGATCAATTTGAATTAACTACAGTTGAGGAAGTTAAAAAAAATCATAGACAATCTCAAATTAAACAGTAGTACAAGTGTTGACGGGATCAGCTCTAAAACTATTAAATATATAAGAGACCCTATATCTTTTTGCTTAACAAATTCCATTAATAGATGTATTCAGGAAGGCTATTTCCCTGACTCACTGAAGCTTGCCAAAGTCACTCCAGTCTATAAATCGGGACCTAAGTATGAGCCAGGCAACTACAGACCAATATCAGTACTCCCTACTATATCAAAAGTTTTTGAGAAAATTTTACATATTAAGCGCCTTAGTGACTATTTAATCTTAAACAAACACCTCCCTGAGTATCAGTATGGCTTCAGGTCAAAATCAAACACCCTTGCAGCATCAATTGATGTCATTACAAAACTTAAAACTAGTATAGACCAAAAACATATAGCCCTTGGAGTTTTTATTGATCTAAAGAAGGCATTTGATACAGTAAGTCATGAAATTCTTCTATGTAAGCTTTCTGCGCTCAGTATAGCTGGATTAGCACTAGAAATGATAAAGTCGTATCTCACTAACCGTTTTCAAGTAGTTAAAATAGATAAACATGTTAGCAGCCGTAAGCCTGTTCAATACGGTGTCCCCCAAGGGTCAATTTTAGGGCCTTTGTTGTTTCTAATATATATAAACGATATAAACAACATAGGCTTAAAGCGACATATCACCTTGTATGCAGATGATACCTGCCTCCTTTATTTTGGACAGAGCATCAATTCAATCGTAGTGGAGGCCCAGCAAGACCTCAACCTCTTGCAAGAATGGTTCTCGTGCAATTTGTTGACTATTAATGTGTCAAAAACAAACTATGTCATTTTTTCTGCAAAAAATAAAAAAAATCCAGACTTCTCACCTCTTACAATAAATGGTGCACATATAAATAGAGCAAATAAGGAAAAATACCTAGGACTTATATTAGATAACAGGTTGTCGTGGAAGCCACACATTCAGAAAATAAATTCTAAATTGTCTTCTTTTTTAGGAATTGTGCGAAATATAGTAGGATGTCTGCCACAGAATGTTCGATATATTTTATATAATACACTTATCAAACCACATATTGACTATTTAATCGAGGTATGGGGATCAGCACATAAAACTAATTTACGTGGACTGCAAACTACCCAAAACAAATTAATCAAGGCACTATTTCATTATAAACATTTAACACCATCTACTATTATATATAAAGAAACCAAATTATTAAATATATCACAAATATATCAATATAATACTTGCATATTAATACGTAAAATACTTAACAAAGACATTCATTCGCAAATATTGTTTAAAAAAATATAGATTTGCACAAGCGTAACTTAAGACGAGCCCATGATATATACATACAAAAAGTTAGAACTGAGTATGGTAAGAAAAATATAATGTTTGACGGTGCAAAATTGTATAACGCTTTACCTAAAAATATAAAAGAATCAAAAATTTTACCGCTTTTTAAAAAATTATTGAAACGCCATATTTTGGAAAATTAACCACAAAAAATACAAACTGAAATTAAATGTAAATTAGTTTGTAGGCACCTTTATTTCTGTTTTCGGTTGCATATTAGTTGTTCGGTTATTACAATTTGTGCGCGATGCTCAAACGTATGTTTACTGTTCTTTTAAATTGTTTACGTTTTACCCACAACTATACTTAATATTCTGTATGCTCGTAATGGATTCCTTTATTATTGTTTGTAAATTGTTAAATTTCTCGTGAGCGATTTGTAATCTTTTGAGAAATAAATAATATCTTAAACCTAAAATATACCTACTCACAGAACACATTTTTAATCTGTTGCGGTTACGTGGAGTATTGACAGGTGCTTTATATTACTCATTGTTAGAACATAGGTGTAAATATTCTTATTTGGGCATTAAGTTGTAATACAGTGTAATTTACACAAATGAGTAATATAATTTAAATTCGTTCGAATCAATCAAATGAATGGAATAATCGAATGATTTAATTAATTTATAAGTACGCCTCGCTAGCTAGAGTCACTAACTATTATCTAATCTGTGGCGTCACGTCAAACACATAGGTAGACTTATATATATCGGAACATGAGCCATGCTGCAGCTATATTACTGATATAGTTGTAACGCGAATGGGTCGGCTCGATCGGGGAAGGACCACGCTCTCACAGAATATCAGCGTAAAATAGCAGCTTAATGCTGCTGTGTTTCGTATGGTGAGTGTAGAGAACCGGAGACCCTTTTTACTGGAAACGAGGCATTCCATCTTAGTCCTCACGGGTGACAACGCATTTGCATCTTGATTCGTAATTGAGGATAGATGTAGATGTCTATGGGCCACAGCAACCACTTACCATCAGGTGGACTGTGTACTCGCTTGTCACCTTTATTCTATAAAAAAAATTATTCCCACCAGATTTATACAAATCCAATCACACAGATAAGGAATGATAAAGAAAAAGAGAGCATTATTATTTACTTGGATACAAGTACATACTTTAATCGACCATCGTTTATTATAATATGGCCCGTGTAGTGACGGTGTAAGAAGATCCACTACTCCATATCATTCCGTGGAACACCTCACAGTAAAAGGCGACGGAGGGAAACAAATCACGAGATGAGCAGCAGCGTCTTCCTAATAACGACTAAAAATAAAAAAAAAACTGAAGTTGACAACCCGCTTGCCAACCGAGGAATCTACGGCAAATATTCCCCCTATGCTATGAGGCAATCTATGTGGGAGGCCTGTGTTCAGCAGTGGACTATAATATGCTGTAACGTTAACAGCACGGCTAGCATGGACTGGGGACAAAAAATTTATCCCCCGATTATATCCACTGACGAGAGATAAAATTATCTTGTCCTTATGCCAAAGCACGGCAACGGGGAGAAGTATATCTCCGTTTGACATAACGAGTAGACATATTATATCCCCCGTCCGTAGCATGGAGCCAAATGAAAGATAAAAAATTATACTTTTTTAACATTTGAAATGGACAATTTTATCCTAGTTCTTTCAACGTGGATTTAAGTTTATATTCATACAAAAAAGTCTAAGTGTATCTCCCATTTTATCTATTGTGGATATTATATCCACCGTTGTGCCCATGCTCGAAGGGCGGATAAAACTAAGCGAGGGGATAAACATTTTCTCCTTTCCCCGGGGATAAAATTGTCTCCTACCCATGCTAGCCCTGTTGTAACGGTTTATAATAATGTCAGAACATATTTATTTTAAAATGTTATTACTTTCAGGTGGAACAACTATCAACACATCTTCTGAAATACGACTGGGACGAAACCGTTTCAGTGTTACGCGAACACGAAATCGATGGCGAGTCTTTGTTCCTGGTGTCAAAGAACCAGCTTATGACTATCGGCGTGAGTGAGGATCATGCTAACGTTATCTGTGAATTTGTTAAGAGTTAATTTTGATTATTTGTAAATATGTATCAATATCATATTATATATGATTATAAAAGGAAATAGTATTTTAAAATAAATACGATAATTTTATGTAAAACCATGTCGATTTAATTTTGGTTAATATGTATAGAAAACTGTGCTGATATTATTTTGTTGTGTTTTTAAATTTACGCGTAGTCATACATATCTACGCGTGTTCGAATACCAGCGTAAAATAGCAGCTTAACACTGCTGTGTTTTGTATGGCGAGTGTAGAGAACCGAAGACCCTTTTTATTGGAAACGAGACATTCCATCTTAGTTCTCAGGGGTAACAACGCTTTTGCTTTTTGATTCTTAATGGTAAATGAAGGTGTCTATGGGCCACAGCATCCACTTACCATCAAGTGGACTGTACACTCGTTTGTCACCCTATCCTATAAAAAAAATATGCGTGAATGTCGTGGAACACTCGGTTGGAACGAAGTTCCTTATTATTTAGCTTACTTTTAATCAACTAGCGAAATAAACTGAAAAGAGAGAAGTGCCGTAATGACGCCTTAATTGGCAGTGTGTGAGAAAAGTCTTCCTATTAATCGTTAAGTATGTAAGTTAGGTTATACATTAGTGTTCATGTAAATTTAAGTAAATTATTGAATTGGACTGTAGTAGACAATTATAATTTAATCGATAACTATACCATTAATTACTGTATTAAATATTTTAAGTTTTTAGGTAACTTACAAAATTAAAATGTTTCTTAAAAGTTTTTTTTTGTTTTATTTAATAGCTGTTCTAAAATGAACGGTAAATTTGAAAGAAAAAGTTTAGTTACCATACCAAAATATTGGGGGTCATTGTAGAAGCGTGCTTGTCGCGACCCCTGCCAGCCCTTTTCAGGGCTGCAATTCTACTCAGCTGCGCACCCATGACAACGAGGGTTAGGGCGTCCCCCCAAGGCGACGCACCCCAGCTCGTCCCCGTTGGTGTGGAATGCAGCGCGCAAAGCGGCGATGAGGACCGCCACCTGTCACGCACAACCCGACACGGCGGAAGGTGGAGGACAGAGTGCAGAGTTGGCACGTGGAATGTTAGAGGAGGCATGAGAGATAAGACGAATGAGTTGATCGAAATAATGAAAGAAAGAGAATTAGATGTCGTGTGTATGTCGGAGACCAAACGGAAGGGCAGTGGTACTGAAGAGCTCCCTGGCGGGGCGTTGGCTCTATGGTCCGGAGTCCCGGAGAGCGAGAGCGCCTGCCAGGGAGTGGGGGTGCTGCTGTCTTCTCGGTTGGTCGATGTTATGACTGAATATAAGTTTGTGAACTCAAGACTTCTCTGGGTTCGCTTTAAATTGGGACTGACGAAGTTATTCCTTTTGGCTGTTTATGCGCCGGTAGCTTCGTCGTCCAGGGCTGAGCTGGAGGAGTTTTGGTAGAATGTAAGAGAAGTTCTAGATTTGGCTAGGGGAAACGAAAGAATTGTTGTATGTGGTGATTTGAATGGATGGGTTGGTACCGCTCGACCAGGGTACGAGTCGGTACTTGGAAAGTTTGGCGATAAAAGGGTTAACGATACTGGCAAGCTTATACTGGCGGTATGCAAGGAAAAGGGTCTTCTTATGACAAACACTATGTTTAATCACAAGAAAATCCATATGTATACTAGAGAAAGAAAGAATGAGAGAAGTATGATCGATTTGTTCCTGGTGGATGACCGACTGCGAAAACAGGTTATGGATACGCGAGTGTTCAGGGGTGCTGACCTGGGAACGGATCACTATCTAGTGATTACTAGATTTAGGGGTCTGTTCGCGGGTTGGCGCTACCGGACGGCAATGACAGAACCACAGTCGGTCTGTCGCATCCGAAGCTGGAAGCTTCAGGAAGCGGATACTAGGGACAAATATCATGCGAGGGTAGCCGAAAAGCTTGACACCATCGATGGCAGAAACGAATGTGTAGAAAGAACATGGCAGAACCTTAGGGATGGAATGGTAAGTGCAGCGGAAGAAGTGTGTGGAACAATAAAAAGAGGCAGTAGTAAAAGAAGAGATGCATGGTGGAATGATGAAGTGAAAGAAGCTGTAAAGAAGAAGAAGAAAGCATGGTTAGACTACTTGGCCTCTAGTAATGATAAGGATATGAGAGAGAAGATGAAAGAAAGATATAGGCTGCAGAAAGTTCACACGAAAGCATTGATTGAGGAAGTGCGTGAAAGGTGTAGAATGGAAGCGGATGAAAGGTTGTCGCACAACTTTAAGGAGAACTCCAAACTCTTCTGGAAAGAGGTTGGAAGGACCCGAAGTGGTGCGACGGCCTTAAGAATGAACAAAGTGCTTTCGAGAACTAATGACGTCCTCTCAGAAAAATCGGACGTCATGCAGCGATGGAGCGAATTTTATAGAGAAATGTATGCGTGTGATGATCTTAGTGAGGGATCCGGGGATGACGCCGTGACTGGTACGCCAGACCCGGACCTCGATGACACTGAGGTCATCAGTATGAAAGAGATTGAACGTGCGTTTCGAAGTTTGAAATGTGGTAAGGCTGCGGGACTAGACAGAGTTACTGCTGAAATGGTCAAGTATGGTGGGCCTCGCGTCTGGGACAGCTTTCATCTGCTGTGCAATTTGTGCTGGCGGACGGGGGATGTCCCGGATGATTGGCGATCCGCAGTCATTATGCCTTTATATAAAGGTAAAGGTTCACATTTTGACTGCGGGTGCTATCGGGCGATCAGCTTGACCAGTTTAGCAAGTAAAGTTTACTCGAAGGTTTTGACACGTAGGATGCAAGAGAAATCGGAAACATTTCTATGGGAGGCACAATGCGGATTTAGACCTGGAAGAGGATGCACGGATCAAATGTTTTCTCTCCGCATGATCACGGAAAAGCTTCTGGCTGCTAACCAGAAGATTTTCTGTGCTTTTGTGGATCTTGAGAAAGCATTTGATAAGGTTGTAAGGAAGAAAATGTGGGAACTGTTGCCGGGGTATGGTGTGGATGGTCGATTGCTAAGGGCTGTGCAGTCTCTTTACTGTGACTGTAAAGCCTGTGTGCGGGTAGGGCATGACCTGTCACCCATGTTTAGCGCCCAAACGGGCGTAAAACAGGGTTGTGTCATGTCTTCCTGGCTGTTCATACTGTATCTCGACAGCTGTTTACAAAAGCTGAAAGATAGCTGTTTGGGTGTGAAATTGGGTGACATTAAAGTAAATTGTCTGCTGTATGCTGATGATGCAGTGCTTATTGCACCATCAGAGGCAGAACTGCAGGCATTAGTCACGTGTATGAAAGAGGAATGTGAAATTAAAGGTCTCCGTTTGAACGCTAATAAAACTAAGGTTCTGGTATTTGAAAGGGACGAAGAGAGAACGAAGTGTGAAATATGGGTAAATCAGGAATGTCTAGAACAAGTAAATGAAATTGTATACTTGGGGAGTGCTTTTAGCCGGGATGGAAGATGTGATTTAGATGTGGACAGGCGTGTCGCTGCCGGGAACAAAGTCAATGGTGCCCTGACTGCGTTAGTCAAAAGGCAAGGCGTATAGTGAAGAGTGCACGCCTTGCAATACATAACGCAGTGTTGGTACCGACTTTGTTATATGGCAGCGAAACCTGGGTATGCCAGAAGAAGCATAAAAGCAAGTTGAATGCAGTGGAGATGCGATCTCTTCGTAAAATGTGCGGCGTTACCATGGTCGACCGAAAGCGAAACGAAGAGATTCGCAATATGGCAGGTTTGAAAGATGACCTTATCACAAAAATTGATAAGGGCGTGCTTCGGTGGTTTGGGCACGTTGAGCGAATGAGTGAAGACCGAATGGTGAAGAAAATATATAGCGCGAAAGTTAATATTAAAAGGTGTCGAGGTAGACCGAGACTAACTTTCGAAGACCATGTGAGCAAATTGCTCGAAGAGGGTAGGGTCAAGAGTACTCGGATACCTAGACGTGCATGTATGAAGAAGATAATGAATCTGAAAGAAGCGAAAGAGGTATGTAAGGATCGTGACACTTGTCGATCATTTCTCTCTGGCTACCCCGTCTGGGATTGTGCGTGAAGATAAGTATAAGTACCAAAATATTGTATGTCAGATTACTAATTAACTGAATGTTGCCTTTGGAAAGTTGGTAAGCAGTCTTGAAAAAGGCAAAACAAAACGAATATACAGAACCACCACACCACAGAGTACCTTTATATAATGGGTGACACTCTCTGTACGTGAGAGTTGAAGCGGCGGTGACATTAGGCCGGAGCGTGTAACGCGATACCGAACCAAAATGGAATATTATAGACTTGTGCCAAAGAAGATACATAGTAGGTATATATTATATAATGTAAACTTATATATTTAGATAGTGAAAGATTCGATCAATTTAAATTCAATTTTTATGAAATATCTTTACAGATGGGGAAAATTAAAATTTTCGACAAAACAAAATATGCACGACAGTTAATGGTAATCTTAAATAATAATTAACCAACACTTAGTATTTCAGTACGCAATAATCAGTATTACTTTCAGTATTACCCTTTAAAAATTACTTACTCTTATAAATTCTTGGCTTTTTCGATGACTTTTATAATTTTTATTATTATTTCTAACGATTGAAAAAAATCGTAGCCGTATGTATATTTTTTTAGAAAATCCATAGGTAAGCATAGATAAAAAGATAGATAGATAGATAACACTTAATTGTACGCCAAAAAATAACATAAATATTAACAAAAAATGAGAAAAATAAATGTGGTACAATGGGTGGTCTTATAGCTAAGAGCGATCTCTTCCAGACAACTTTTGGATGGACAGGATTGCAAGGAAACAATAAAAACGTGTGTGATTTGGCAAAAAAAATAACATTATTTTTATTAAAGCCATAAAATAGAAATACAGAATGGTATATAAGTACATATATAAGATAAATACATACATACGTATTAATATATTTTTGCATTTTGATTTGAATTGTAATTTTTATTATACAACTGTTTGTTGTCCTTAATAAAAAATATAAATATATATTTTTATACCTAAATATAAATATATAAAATTACAAATATATACTTTAAAACTATTATAAATAACATAAATGTGCCATACATATAAATAAATATTGTAACTAAATAAAGGTAGAATAATTATATACAAATTAATAGGCATTATTTTTGTATAAAGCGCAGCCCTCAGCCAGGGCAGTCGGCGACGGCCCGTTCCACGCCCCGCGCGCCTCTCAAGGCGCCCGCACACATCCAGACACCCACAAATAGCCGCAAGTGATTTTACGTGCACACATGCTAAGTTTCGTTTCTTTTCGCGTAGTGTATATATTCTTTGACAGAAGGTAATAAATGCCAAAAAATATATAATCACAGCGTTTTCATAATGGCTTTCTTTCAAATGTCGCATATTTTGTTTAATTGCACTCGTACACTTTCTTATGAAGCTTAATGTGCAACGCTCCGTTCATTCTCTAGCTATACAATCAATGTCAAGTTCTTACCACGTGACCCTGATCCGTGCACACCTAACATACCGCAATTTAAGAAACAAATGACAAAACTAAACGTTTGTGACTGAAATAACTGAATAAAATTTTTTGTGAAACATCTAATTTTTTTAATTATTTTGACAAGGTTAAGTTAAGTTTGGTTAAGAAGTGCAGAAAATAATTAATGACTAGCCTCACTAAATAAATTTAATCCTCCTGTTCCACACTACACCAATCTATGTAGATATTCCCGTCGCTCGTGTAGATATTCCCGTCGCTCCAATTTTTGCTACAAAACAATAGTGCGACCACTGTTTTCTCAGAGTATAAAGAGCCTATTTTTTAAACTGTTTTAGAATGGCAGAAAAGAATTAATAACTAGCCTGACTAAATAAATTTAAACGAGAAAGATATACGAAAAAAATTGGTAATCGATAATTCTCCTCTTCCACACTGCACCAATCTGTGTAGAGTTTACACGTGGTAGAGCCTTGCTGCAGCTATATTAATAGTACATATAGTTATAGCACGAATGGGTCGGCTCGACCGAAGAAGGACCACGCTCTCACAGAATACCAGCGTAAAATAGCAGCTTAATGCTGCTGTGTTTAGTATGGTGAGTATAGAGAACCGGAGTCCCTTTTTACTGGAAAAGAGGCATTCTATCTTAGTCCTCACGGCTGACAACGCATCCGCATTTTAATTCGCAAACGAAGATAGATGTAGATGTCTATGGGCCACAGCAACCAATTACCATCAGGTGGACTGTGTGCTCGTTTGTCACCCTTATTCTATAAAAAAAAAGAAGAAAAAAAGATATATTTTGCTACTAAACAATAGTGCGACCACTATTTTCTCAGAGTAAAAAGAGCCTGTATATGTACCTAATAACAGGTGATCTATAGAATAAAGATGTACCTACAGGTCTCCATGAATAACTGTAGCCATTTACTATTAGTATGTAGTTAACTCGTTTGTCGTTTTATACTTATAGAAATGTGACAATGACAAATGACAAGTGAGCAGTGGACTGTTTGTAATCTGATGATCATGATAAATATTTGTGACTGTTTTATAATTAGGGGGGATTCTTAAGACTATAAAACACTATGAACTACGTACTCATTTAATTAATATTAGTATTACAACAAATATAACGTTAGAAAATATAAAACAAAAGTACAAATTTAATATATAGTATAAGTAAATGTAATTATAAAAAGATCACCAGTGAAAAAAATCTGTCCTCCCATAACGTAGCACTAATTTCTCTTCGTTGATTTTCCCATAAAGTTTACGACTTGAGCTAGTGGCGCGAATTTGCCGCGACGACATCTTTTTTTCATGCCCAAATCTGGCAACACTTCCTCCGACTCGACCATAGATGAATCCATGTTTTTTGATGCGATCTCTTCGGAAAAATCATCAGTGTCATTTTTTTCGCTGTCTGAAATTTCGCGATATTTCTTACTATATTCTGGTTTTCCGCGAGGTTGGCTTTTATCACGTCTGGGTTTTAAATTGTCGCTAGCCAATTTTGCATAATCCGGCGGTTGACACATTAGTGTTTCATAGAAAAATCTGTCAGCTCTTCCTTCGGCTTTCGGTCTCAATTTTACGTGTTCCTCATCAGAGCTTTCATTTGAGGAGTGGAGTACCGGGGAGGTTGGAGGAAGTTTTTTATGCGTTCTTTGGCTGGAAATATATCGATATAACCTTTGATTTGTCCTTATTCAACTGTAATTAGAACCTTATAATCATGTTAAGTTCACGTACAAGTACGTTTAAGACAGACAAGATGTAAAGTTTCAAGACCTAAAATGGGCACGGTTAATACAATCTTGTAGCAAATCTTTGCTACATTCAGTACATTTAATTTTAAGCAATTTTTATTGACCTACGGTGCCGTGTGTTCTCGTTGCAAGAGAATACGTCGCTTTATTTCATCTAAGTGGTTGTTGTAAGAGGCGACTGTATTTTTTTATGTTTTTAAGCCAGTGCTTGAATACAATTGGTACCGATGGTAAGTGGTGATGCTACCGAAGATGGTAGAGAACACTGACTTAGTTCAGCAAAAGTCTATTTCACTCTTGCCTAGAAGGCATCTGTCTACATTGTATCGTGTAACACCGAAAGGTTAACTACTTTGAGCTTGTGCTCGAGACTGGTCAGATTGGTTCTATCCATATTGGTGTGAGCAATAAGCCTTTGCGATCGCCTTAATTACGTTCATCAATAGTTGTTACATTGTTAACAAGACATTAGTCACGATAGGCATAATATGCTTTACAATTACTGCATTAAACTTTTTAGTTTTTTGGTTAGACACAAACTTCTGTCGGCCTACACTGCCTCCGTTGGTAAGCCCGATTGGCACACTACCGCACACGGCTAAAGAAAGAGCGGAATTATTCGTGGCTCTCTTTGCTTGTGATTTACGCTTAGACAATGGCAACAACGTTCCATCTCAATTACCTCACTGTGGCACCTTTATATCGAAAATCTGCTTGGTTAACAAAGAGGTTCTTAAAACCTTAAGACCCTGGTCTAGGCGTGAACAAAGCTAGTGAACCAGATTGTATACCAGCTGAATTCGAGTTGCCTCATGTGTTCTGCCTTTCATTCGCACTGGAATAGTGCCCAAATCATTGAAGCTACGCTACGCTAGCTATGTACGTGGTAGAGCCATTCTGCAGCTATATTAATAGTATAGTTGTAGCACGAATGGGTCAGCTCGACCGGGAAAGGACCACGCTCTCACAGAATACCAGCGTAAAATATCAGCTTAACACTGCTGTGTTTCGTATGGTGAGTGTAGAGAACCGGCGACCCTTTTTACTGGAAAAGAGACATTCCATCTTAGTCCTCACGGGTGACAACGCATCTGCATTTTGATTCTTTATTGAGGATAGATGTAGATGTTTATGGGTCACAGCAACCACTTACTATCAGGTGGACTGTGTGCTCGTTTTTCACCCTATCATAAAAACCTATAAAAAAAAAGACGCTAGCTAATATGCAGCCAGTTCCGTTGAAAGACAGCCATGCTGACCCTGCCAATTATCGGCTAATCTCAATTACCTCTATACTCTTTACGATTATGGAGAGTATATTGAACGCCCCCCCCCCCCTATGGTACCTAGAGCAGAAGTGTTCCTTAGCAGCCGACAGTACAAGTCTGACCGACACGGAACCTTCTAGTATATGCCACATATTACATCCTCATTATTCTCTAGGTCAAGGCTCTAGAGAAGAATGAGGATGCAATTTCTGTTTCCCTTAATGTCTTGAAAGCCTTTGACAAGGTCTGGCAGGCTAGCCTCTTAGGCAAGCTTTTAACGTACGGCTTATCTTCTCGTCCGATCAGCTGGGTGAATGACTTTTTGAGTGAACGGATGGTTCAACTTTCCGAGTGGTTGTTGAAGGTTGGTCTTCCAAGCCTGTGGCGTCTAATGCCCTGGTATATTTTTTTTTAATCTTCACGCACAATCCCTGACGGGGTAGCCAGAGAGAACAGATCGCCAAGTGTCACGATCCTTACATACCTCTTTCGCTTCTTTCAGATTCATTATCTTCTTCATACATGCACGTCTTGGTGTCCGAGTACTCTTGACCCTACCCTCTTCGAGCAATTTGCTCACATGGTCTTCGAAAGTTAGTCTCGGTCTACCTCGACACTTTTTAATATTAACTTTCGCGCTATATATTTTCTTCACCATTCAGTCTTCACTCATTCGCTCAACGTGCCCAAACCACCGAAGCACGCCCTTATCAATTTTTGTGATAAGGTCATCTTTCAAACCTGCCATATTGCGAATCTCTTCGTTTCCCTTTCGGTCGGCCATGGTAACCCCGCACATTTTACGAAGAGATCGCATCTCCACTGCCTATATGGTGGCGTAATAATCTCGTTTAAGCATGGTGATCAAACAAACTCTCCCCACGACGGCAGAGGCGCATGGCCGGCATTTATTGGTTGATAAAGAACAAAGAGAAGATGAATCTCCTACGAACTGTAACACTGTGGTAAATAAATGACAGTATTTTGAAAAAAAAATCTTATACTTGCAAAAGATTCGTTTTCTTTAGATCATATTTCTGTGATTAATCCAAAAAATAAATGAAATCCGTAGTAGCTCAAACGGAAGGCATTCAAGGAATATATCGCAAACAGTTTAATACCTGCACTTGTGAGTTTTATGAGAAATAAAAATAAAAAAATTATTAAATGTAAAACAATATTTTATGATGTCTCCGCACATTACACTGGATACAGAGAGTTAAGGAAACATCATTGCAGTCGAAAACCACCCAGCACCATAATGTATATCATCATAATACTATTGTAAAAAGTGTGTTCCAGTTAATGCCTAAATCCATATATAAAATTGAATTTTAACAGCGCTTAAAAATTACCATCGTTTGGTGTCTCCAGCCAGCATGTTCGCAACATTACGTGGTGACTGCGACTGCGGGAAGCCGGGGCCCACTTCATCGCCTATCCCCTAACACAACAAAATTAAGATTCACTTTTAGCATTCATGTATGTATATTAAGATGTACTAGGTGCTAGAGTATATTTTCTGTCTAAGAGTCCATTTCGGTAAGTGGTTAATGCCAACCTCTTGCCTGTTCAGCAGTGCAATCAGTGCTGTATTCATATTTTAAGGATACGAGAGGGAGCAACACATTTCTTTGTTTGAAGTTGTTTCATCCATAGACTGCAATTGTATTCATCATAAAGAGTATCCATTACTCCATTTCGTCCTGTGGGTATCAAAACAGGCGACAAATGAATATGCAGGGGCATGTGCCCCGCTAAGGAATAATGTTAATGTTTTTTTTTTATATAGAATAAAGGTGACAAACGAGCACACAGTCTACCTGATGGTAAGTGGCTGCTGTGGCCCATAGACATCTACATCTATCTTCGTTTGCGGATTAAAATGCAGATGCATTGTCAGCCGTGAGGACTAAGATAGAATGCCTCTTTTCCAGTAAAAAGGGTCTCCGGTTCTCTACACTCACCATACGAAACACAGCAGCTGCTATTTTACGCTGGTATTCTGTGAGAGCGTGGTCCTTTCCCGGTCGAGCCGAACTATTCGTGCTACAACTATACTATTAATATAATTGCAGCATGGCTCTACCACGTAAAATTGTAAATAATGTGTAAAATGTTATGAATAGGATGGATGAATGCCCAAATACTCAAACGCTGCTCAATTTTAAAGATGCCTTTAAGTCTGGTGCGAGACAGCATTGTCATTTTAAGTCAAAAAGACTGTGACACCACGAGACTTAACGACATCTTAACATTGAACAGCGTTTGAGTACCTACTTCACCATAAATATATTTTGAAACAATCATTACACAAACGAACCTTTTCGTACAAATTTCCCTTCAATCCGAAGTGAAAGTAGCAGTGCGTGACTCTCTCCACGTCGGCCCAAGCGACGATGTAGCGGGCCATGCTCAGCGGAATCTTCGGTAGGAAGTTCGAGTGGAACTTGCCTTGGCAGTAAATCGTGATCACGTCCGTATCCTTCACCTCGAAAACTATCCGAAATATCGTCCCTGCACAGAAAAATATTAGTATTAAGCGAGATATGGATTAGCAAGCTGAAGTGGTATGGGCCGTCCATATAACTCGAAGAAAAATTCTCGAATGGTAACCTCATACCCGTAGGCGAATTGTAAAGCGGCCCTCCACTAGATGGAGTGATGACCTGGTAAGGTATGTAAGTCGATGGATGCAGATGACTGTGCTTTGTGCCATTCGTTTGGGGAGGCCTATGATCAGCAGTGGGCTTGTGAAGGGCTGTAATGATGACGATGATGGTGAAGAGAAACCTTGCAAATATCGAACTCAGAATGCTCGCAAAGAATGAAATTGTGATTGACGCAAAGCCCCTGAGCTGGCTATCTATCATATATGGATCCTGCCGTTACGTGCTGTTACATTTATTTTATTATTTAATACATAGACTATAATTTTAATTATACCAATTTTCGCTTTTAATTCTGATCTGACGAAAATGGGACAGTAAACTCTATGTATATGTGCACAAGGCTCTAAACTATAAATATTCTCATTAACAGTAATTGGATAAAAATGAATATATCACATATCCTAAAAAACTAACCAGGCACGAACATGTTATAATTAGTATCGTAGTTCCCACTTCCTATCCAGATGCCGTTTTTCCTTGACAAAGAGATAATGTTGTCTCGATGAAACCGCACGTCGAAGTGCAGCACCACGTCCCTCGGCTCCTCCCCTTCTTGAGCGCAAAGGTTAACTGACATCCTAAAATCAATATAAATTGTTGTCAATTGTGGTTCAAAGTAGGTTAAAAATTCAAAAACAATTCTGACTGTAACTTTATATTACACTTTTCTAAAAGGCCGGCAACGCATCTACAATTCCCCTGGTGTTGCGGTTGTTCATGGGCAGCGGTAGTCACTTACCATCAGGTGAGCCGCATGCTCGTTTGCCCTCTCTTCTATAAAAAAAAGGTTACTGACAAGCTTGTCTTATCAGGAAGCTTCCTTACTGCATATTATGTGATTCTTCTACCTGGACTGACAATCCATACAAATGTTTTTGGATGGCTGATAGTCTGAGGCTATAACGATTATTACCAACCTGCTTAATATTTGTAGATATGCAGATAACAGCATAGTTGAGGAAATATCAGTCGTGGAATTTTGTCTGTATGGATCAAACAGTCTAATCGAGAGATCCTATTGGTTTGACAATTCAAATTTTATAAGATTCAATGTTACTAAACATAAACCTCTATTCACGTTTCGTCTAGGCCGTCGACCGCCTTTAAAGTGCGTAAAGAAGTTTAAAGCGAAAATGCAACGATACTTTACGTCGGGACAAAGTCTGAACCTGTATAAAACACAGGTCCTACACAGGCTTTTGAATACTGTTGCTATGTCTATCTGTTGATAAATACTTCTAACAGTTTTTGAATTAGTGGAGAAGTCAATGCCATACTCAAGATTGGAAATTAACATTAGGATGGATTAAGGGATTCAAGTACAAGCGAGCTATTTTAATACGTGAACACTATGTCTAGTCAATGGAATAGTTGGCAAAGTTTTGGGAAGTGTCAATATATCTTACTTTCGAGCGTTTTCCTTGATTTTACCACCGATTTCAATTTTGTCTCCAATTTTAAGTACACCGGGTATGTTAGCTGTAAAAACAGGCATTTTATGCGGGGTATTGTGGTGCAAAAATAATATTTCACTACAGTTTCATATAGACCAGAGTCGATAGTATCTCTTAACATTTTGAACAAATAATTTTAACATAACAGCGGTACATATATATAAATCGTTTGTACTTATAACTTTTGTGTATAACACAATGTGAATGTTATGTGATGTTATGACACCTGCCACTGAGACACAAGCTGCTAGATTATTTATTTTCTCTTGAACCTAAACCTTTCGTAAACTTTTGATATATTCATAATAATGTCAATAAAGTCATGTTGTGACGTGTGTGTATGAACCTGTTGGATTTTTATTTTCTTCAGTAGTAGCATATTAGATAGATCATTGTTTTTCTCTTGAATTCTTTGAAATTAAGCAAGAAGTATTTTATCGGCCTTTTTTAATTGAAAGTGAAAACGAAAAGGCAAGTTAGTAAAGTGGATAAATATAAGTTACAAGCTATAACACCATATGTAACCCCCTCAGGGTTTGAATTTTCCATTCTTAGTGGGTGTCTACATCGAGAAATATTATACCTATATGCCAAAAAATTCAAGCCGGCGTAAAGTTTTGGATATCTTGTGATGAGTGAGATAGTGGTATTTCGCTTAGGTATATATAAAAGTAGAAGTTACAGCCTTTATATGTCCCACTGCTGGGCACAGGCCTCCTCTCATTTCTGAGAGGGTTTTGGGGTAAGAAAATGGCCGCAGTGCTGCCCCAATGCGTGTTGGCCAATTTCACATGTCTTCGAAATATTTTTAAGTGCAGTTTTAGTAACGTGCTCATAACGAATAACTGGTGAACTGAGAGGACATTATAGGATTTATATAAGAGATGGGACGGGAATAGGATAGGGCGAAAAGTTGCGACTTTTAATACAGCTCTTTGAGCGCATTCCAGTGGTAGCAGTGTATATTTAGCTACTCCTCCCCATGAGGTTATACAATAGGTGAGAATTGATTGACATAGTGCGAAATATACTTGCTTTACTACCTTGATATCAACAAAAGAACGAATATTTTTAAAAACATACATTAATTTACGGACTCTATTGCATAGGTGGTCTATGTAAGAGTAGAATCTATAATTATTCCAAGGTATTTAATAATTTTTGTATTAAAAATAACTGAGCAGTTACAATTAGACTCTGCGACTGAGCAACATTTATGTGCATAAATTTCTAGAGTGGTTATATGCTGTGTTGAGCTGCGCATAGAAAAATGAATATATTTGGTTTTGTCCGTATTCAGTGTTAATATATTTTGTTGGATATATTTATTTATATTTATTTTTTATTTATTTATCTTCACGCACAATCCCTGACGGGGTAGCCAGAGAGAACAGATCGCCAAGTGTCACGATCCTTACATATCTCTTTCGCTTCTTTCAGATTCATTATCTTCTTCATACATGCACGTCTAGGTATCCGAGTACTCTTGACCCTACCCTCTTCGAGCAATTTGCTCACATGGTCTTCGAAAGTTAGTCTCGGTCTACCTCGACACCTTTTAATATTAACTTTCGCGCTATATATTTTCTTCACCATTCGGTCTTCACTCATTCGCTCAACGTGCCCAAACCACCGAAGCACGCCCTTATCAATTTTTGTGATAAGGTCATCTTTCAAACCTGCCATATTGCGAATCTCTTCGTTTCGCTTTCGGTCGGCCATAGTAACGCCGCACATTTTACGAAGAGATCGCATCTCCACTGCATTCAACTTACTTTTATGCTTCTTCTGGCATACCCAGGTTTCGCTGCCATATAACAAAGTCGGTACCAACACTGCGTTATGTATTGCAAGGCGTGCACTCTTCGCTACGCCTTGCCTTTTGACTAACGCAGTCAGGGCACCATTGACTTTGTTCCCGGCAGCGACACGCCTGTCCACATCTAAATCACATCTTCCATCCCGGCTAAAAACACTCCCCAAGTATACAATTTCATTTACCTGTTCTAGACATTCCTGATTTACCCATATTTCACACTTCGTTCTCTCTTCGTCCCTTTCAAATACCAGAACCTTAGTTTTATTAGCATTCAAACGGAGACCTTTAATTTCACATTCCTCTTTCATACACGTGACTAATGCCTGCAGTTCTGCCTCTGATGGTGCAATAAGCACTGCATCATCAGCATACAGCAGACAATTTACTTTTATGTCACCCAATTTCACACCCAAACAGCTATCTTTCAGCTTTTGTAAACAGCTGTCGAGATACAGTATGAACAGCCAGGAAGACATGACACAACCCTGTTTTACGCCCGTTTGGACGCTAAACATGGGTGACAGGTCATGCCCTACCCGCACACAGGCTTTACAGTCACAGTAAAGAGACTGCACAGCCCTTAGCAATCGGCCATCCACACCATACCCCGGCAACAGTTCCCACATTTTCTTCCTTACAACCTTATCAAATGCTTTCTCAAGATCCACAAAAGCACAGAAAATCTTCTGGTTAACAGCCAGAAGCTTTTCCGTGATCATACGGAGAGAAAACATTTGATCCGTGCATCCTCTTCCAGGTCTAAATCCGCATTGTGCCTCCCATAGAAATCTTTCCGATTTCTCTTGCATCCTACGTGTCAAAACCTTCGAGTAAACTTTACTTGCTAAACTGGTCAAGCTGATCGCCCGATAGCACCCGCAGTCAAAATGTGAACCTTTACCTTTATATAAAGGCACAATGACTGCGGATCGCCAATCATCCGGGACATCCCCCGTCCGCCAGCACAAATTGCACAGCAGATGAAAGCTGTCCCAGACGCGAGGCCCACCATACTTGACCATTTCAGCAGTAACTCTGTCTAGTCCCGCAGCCTTACCACATTTCAAACTTCGAATCGTACGTTCAATCTCTTTCATACTGATGACCTCAGTGTCATCGAGGTCCGGGTCTGGCGTGCCAGTCACGGCGTCATCCCCGGATCCCTCACTAAGATCATCACACGCATACATTTCTCTATAAAATTCGCTCCATCGCTGCATGACGTCCGATTTTTCTGAGAGGACGTCATTAGTTCTTGAAAGCACTTTGTTCATTCTTAAGGCCGTCGCACCACTTCGGGTCCTTCCAACCTCTTTCCAGAAGAGTTTGGAGTTCTCCTTAAAGTTGTGCGACAACCTTTCATCCGCTTCCATTCTACACCTTTCACGCACTTCCTCAATCAATGCTTTCGTGTGAACTTTCTGCAGCTTATATCTTTCTTTCATCTTCTCTCTCATATCCTTATCATTACTAGAGGCCAAGTAGTCTAACCATGCTTTCTTCTTCTTCTTTACAGCTTCTTTCACTTCATCATTCCACCATGCATCTCTTCTTTTACTACTGCCTCTTGTTATTGTTCCACACACTTCTTCCGCTGCACTTACCATTCCATCCCTAAGGTTCTGCCATGTTCTTTCTATACATTCGTTTCTGCCATTGATGGTGTCAAGCTTTTCGGCTACCCTCGCATGATATTTGTCCCTAGTATCCGCTTCCTGAAGCTTCCAGCTTCGGATGCGACAGACCGACTGTGGTTCTGTCACTGTCGTCCGGTAGCGCCAACCCGCGAACAGACCCCTAAATCTAGTAATCACCAGATAGTGATCCGTTCCCAGGTCAGCACCCCTGAACACTCGCGTATCCATAACCTGTTTTCGCAGTCGGTCATCCACCAGGAACAAATCGATCATACTTCTCTCATTCTTTCTTTCTCTAGTATACATATGGATTTTCTTGTGATTAAACATAGTGTTTGTCACAAGAAGACCCTTTTCCTTGCATACCGCCAGTATAAGCTTGCCAGCATCATTAACCCTTTTATCGCCAAACTTTCCAAGTACCGACTCGTACCCTGGTCGAGCGGTACCAACCCATCCATTCAAATCACCACATACAACAATCCTTTCGTTTCCCTTTGTCAAATCTAGAACTTCTCTTACATTCTCCCAAAACTCCTCCAGCTCAGCCCTGGACGACGAAGCCACCGGCGCATAAACAGCCAAAAGGAATAACTTCGTCAGTCCCAATTTAAAGCGAACCCAGAGAAGTCTTGAGTTCACAAACTTATATTCAGTCATAACATCGACCAACCGAGAAGACAGCAGCACCCCCACTCCCTGGCAGGCGTTCTCGCTCTCCGGGACTCCGGACCATAGAGCAAACGCCCCGCCAGGGAGCTCTTCAGTACCACTGCCCTTCCGTTTGGTCTCCGACATACACACGACATCTAATTCTCTTTCTTTCATTATTTCGATCAACTCATTCGTCTTATCTCTCATGCCTCCTCTAACATTTCACGTGCCAACTCTGCACTCCGTCCTCCACCTTCCGCCGTGTCGGGCTGTGCGTGACGGGTGGCGGTCCCCATCGCCGCTTTGCGCGCTGCATTCCACACCAACGGGGACGAGCTGGTGTGCGTCGCCTTGGGGGGACGCCCTAACCCTCGTTGACATGGGTGCGCAGCTGAGTAGAATTGCAGCCCTGAAAAGGGCTGGCAGGGGTCGCGACGAGCACGCTTCTACAATGACCCCCTATGTTTTGTTGGAGCCATTTATTAACCCTATAAAAACCTTGCTGTGCACATAAATAAACCTTGTCTACAGTATTTGCGGAAAAAATGAGCACGGTATCATCTGCGTAAGATATTATTTTACCCGAGTTAAGTTCAAGATTGCAAAGGTCATTTACATATACCAAAAATAGAGTTGGCCCTAATACACTTCCTTGAGGCAAGCCAAAATGAGTATTTTTTTGTTCAGAGCTAAAAACCTTTTCAATTTTTATGCATTGATATAGATTTTCTAAATAGTTCGCAAAAAGTTGAAGCTGTTTACCTTGAATACTTATGCTTTCTAACTTATTTAATAGGATGGGAATAGATATTATATGAAAAGCTTTTGCTGGGTTAAGGAAAATGCCAACTAATTGGTTGCCTTTATCTAATTATTGAGAGACGTAATCAGTCATTACCTGCACATCATCAGCAGTGAACAGTTTTGTTCTGAAACCATATTGCATATTCGATAATATGGATTTACTTTGTAAATAATTCATTAATCTATTGTTAATTAATTTTCCTAATATTTTCGACGTAGATGAGAGTATTGAGATAGGCCGATAATTGGAAACGTTTTTTTTAGTCCCCCGATTTATATACTGGAAATACAATGGCTTTTTTTAAACAATCTGGGAAAATACCTTCAGAGAGGCAAATTCGAAAAATATAAGTTAATGGTGGTACTAGAATTTGTCTAAATTTTCTTAATATACTGTTGGGTATGGCATCCCAACTAACCGCGCTTGTTTCTTTCAGTCCCATTATAATACTTTCTACGTCCGTATCTAATAAAGTAAACGAACTTAATTGGCAGTTTCTTTGAGTTGGAAAAGTGACCCTGTATTCATGATTATTGTTAGAATTGTTAATTATCTGTTCAGCAAGATTTTTACCGATGCTTACAAAGTTATTATTTTCTTGTTTTGCTGATATAAGCTGCGAGGATATATTTTGTAATAATTCTGCGGAAGATTCATGTTGTTTGCATATAAATTCAATATCTTTTACATGCCGCCAAATCTTTTTATTATCTCTACCAGACTCTTCCAGTAAGTTTGTAAGATAATTATACTTCAATTTTTTAATAAATTGTTGCAAAAATTCCTATATCTTTTATATGAAATTTATAAGACGGAATTATCTACAGAAGATTTTGCCATCAGGTGTAGTTTGTCCCTATGTTTCATGCACCTAATTAGACCGGATGTAATCCAAGGTTTTAAATTATTATTCTTTTTAACTACTGTGGTATACGAAGTATTGCTGATGATGGCATTTCTTACGTTATTTATTAAGTAAGGCATAAAAATGTTTACGTCATCGGTTTTATAAACTGGGCTAAAGTCAATGTTTTAAATTGCATGTTCAAGGTTTTTCATATTAGTTTTAGGAATGGAGTATTTACACTTCGATTTAGGTATTTTAAGGCTAAGTTAAGAATGAGGGCACTATGATCGGTTACTATAGGATGGGTGATAAGGGTTATAGATGGTAACTGAGTTTTTAGTAAAATGTGGTTCGCAAAAAACCTCTGTCCTGGGAATAACCAGCCAGAAATTCAGCGGAACTTTTTTTTATAAGCACAATTTACAATATAATATTTAATACAATTGTTATGAAAACATTCAGAAACAGCATGGTAGTGATCACATCATTCCCACGGGTTATTATCAGTTAATAAAACTATTTTTGTTTTTGTGTACACACATTAAATTCTCATAAACATATTGAGAGACCAAAGTTAATATATCTATTTCTTTAAATTTTTCCTGCGGGATTCATTCGGACCTAGGTTATAAATTGCTCTTATGGCTCTCTTTTGCAAAACAAAAATAGTTTAAATGTCATTACTTTTCAAGGAATCTAATCTTTATTACAGCATATGCTGCAGAACTAATTTTGCTGGCTAGTTTAGATGTATGAGGGCCCCATTGATGCTTCGCGTCAACTGTAATACCGAGAAAAACAGTGGATTCATCAAGGCCTAGCCTTTCCCCATTTAAAAATACATTGATATTCATATTATTAACATTTGGTGTAGTGAATTTAATACATTTAATTTTATTACTCAAAAGCAAATTCTTCACGTTAAACCTGTGAACTATTTTTGATATAGCATTATTCGCTTCGTCATATTTTAATTGCCTTTTTAGAAGGAAAATCAACGAAGAATCATCAGCAAATAATATTATATCATGGTTATTCCCTACCAAGTAAGATAAGTCATTTATATAAACTAAGAACAGAAAGGGACCAAGAACTGAGCCCTGAGGAACACCCATAGATAGTATCGATCCGGAAGAACTACATCCATTAATAACAACTGTTTGCGTTCTATTATTTAGATATGACATAATAAGTTTAAGCGCTATGTTTTTTACATCATACTGATGTAGCTTCCTGATTAATGTCTCATGATAAACACAGTCGAAATCCTTGGAAAGATTACAAAATATTCCCAAAGCATCTTCTGAATTTTGCCATGCACAGAAAATATGTTTGATTAACTCATCACCGACATCAGTTGTCGAGCGACCCCTTGTAACTTGTAATTTGATTGGAAGAAGTTTCTTTCGTAGTATATTATTATGGATAAACGTATTATTTTATTGATTAACAAATACAAATAAATGAATTACTAGCGTCATTTAAAATGAAGCGTCATTTAAAATAATATTTCTTTCATGGCAAGATAAGAAAAAGTGCGAGGGAGATGGATATTATTCCATCTCGCTCGTACTATAGAAAGGGGGTCGTGTCGTGACGGAAAATCTTACATTTTTTCTCGCCTAGCCCTCATCCGTCAAATTCGTACCGTGCGATAAATAACTTCGTTCCAAAAACATATAACGGTAGTTTGAGTGGATCACAGACATCATTTTGTAATATTATGTTATATGTGAAGTGACAAAATCAAATTGTCATCAAGTTTTGGCGGGAACTTGAACTGCGGCAGATTGCTGCTCCTGTATAATTGTTTTAATATTGGTTTGAAGTGGATTTTGATATGTAAAAGTGGTGCGATTTTGTATCTGCGCATGTGAACGGTTAGTGGAAACAATGAAACAATTGCTCCGATGGTGATGTGCATCTCAAGATAAGGTGTCTATCTGCTTAGGCGCTTTGAGATATTATCGCCAACTGTCTGCTGTGTTGGCTCAATTTTCCGTCAAAATCTCCTAAAAACTACGCAATGTGACGCATCAAGATATAGTATAGCAGTGTTCTATAAAGTATTATTATCACTTGATACTGAAAATATTAAAAAATTGAAGAATATTGAAATGACGATATGGCTTAAAAGACAAACATCCACGCCAAAAATATTATTCAAAAAAAATATGTCATTAAATTGTCTTTTCTGAAATCTGAAATTGTCAATTGTCAAAGTCAAAGTCAGAGAAGGTGACCGACCGGGCATAACCTATTTTATTGCGGTTTCAACCCGGTTTTGATAACTTTAATCTATACTTCTTATCTGGTTTTGTTTTTCTACATTAAAGTTAATTTCGTAACAGTTCGTGTTAAATATATATTACTCTAAAGGCAAGTCGTACTTAAAATTTTTACAATTCATAGGTTAATTTCGTCTGTAAATCTTGTCTGAAGATATTCTAATAAGCACTTAATTATTTACAAAATCCAGAAGCTCAGTTAGGTACCTAAAATCATGCTTTTGAAATTCTATTCATATATTCAATATGTTTAGCACTACACCCCATCACGAGTCCCCTGATATGGCCCTCTTCTGTTGTAGGGATTTTAATTTACCGTCACAACATATTTAATTTGTAGTCTATTCCTTTTTTCAGTTATCAGTGTCATACAATATGGTTGTGTCAGAGGAAACTCAGCCCACAATGGAAGGTGATGGATCTACAAGTAAAAAAGCTGCCAAGAAGGCAGCAAAAGCAGCTGAGAAACAACAGAAGAAAGCCGAACACAAGGTATATTGTATTAATAAAGAATGTAAGTGAAAGGCAAAGTAAATGGCTAATAATATTAGACTTGCAGTGAATAGTATATTTGGCCACATGCCGAATACCGAATATACTGAGTATTTCCTGGCCGTAAAGCTGAATATTAGGCAAAAGTATTCCACCAGGAAGAAAGTGGTGTTTAATGTTTAGAGCATCTATTCTCTGTAGCTGGGATTGTCTGCAAGAAGAAAAGTTATCTGATTGTTCTTTTTTTTAATTTTTATCATATAGAAGTTGATTATGTACTTATGATACTTTAATGATTACAAGATAGAGTTTATTATAAATAGAATTTATTACAAAATACATAAATCTTTTCATTTTACCAATTATCTGACACATTAAAACTTCTTACTTAAGTATTTGATATTAGGATCAAAGTAGCCTAATAGGCTGAATACTGAATAATAGCTGAATATTTGTTGCAAGTCTTTGTTATGTTTTATTAATCCTTGTCATTCTTTAGACTAATGTTTAAACAAAAGTGCTTATTTTCTCAATTATAGTGTTTTATATTCTATTAAATGATCATTATATCTTCGAGGTTAGATGGAACTTTACACTACTTAAGTACATATTTTGATCTTACGTGGTAGATTAAACAATCCGGAAATTCTGGAATCACTGTGGTTCCTCGTGCCTAATCCTTGGCTGCAATGGGGAGGGTTGCTAAGGGGAGGGTTGCTGGATCTACCAGTTGCTCATACAAACCTCTTAAAATACACACCAATTATTCGCACAGCTAGAAATTGGTTGCCTATCTATATTGGTTCTTTTAATTTGATTAAAATATATTCTTAATATTATAAAGTTGCGTTTTAATTGCTCTCACTGGTAATAATGTCTAGTTTAGAATGTAAGTTTAAACACTAGAACTGACTAATATAGCATAAATTAATTAAAGTATTGAAATTGAGATTCTTAAGCTTTAGGAGTATATATAAAATTGGTGGCACTGAAAAATGTTGATTTTCAAAGGGGCCGTAAAAGAAATAAGTTTGATAATCTCTGCTTTAACCACTCCTGGTGAGCTTAAAATGCTTGTGTTAGGAGTAGTTCACGACAGTAGTGGAACGGTGGATTAGATCCCACAACCTTTTGAGTTTGTGGTCCGCACCCTGTCAATAGGCTACTATTGTTTCAAAATAATATGTAATAATGTATACTAAAATAATTGAATGTAGTAATTCTTCATTATAAATTCTCTGAATTACAAATTTTCAAGTTTCAAGTATTTGAAACTGAACTCTTTTAAACTAGACTAATAAAGTTGTTTTTAATTAATCCCCCACCCCCTTCTTTCCACTAATTGGTGCTGCTTGCCTCCCCCTGATACATCAATTGTCACCCTTAATTTGATTGATAAAACAATGTAACAATTGTAAATTATCATTACTTTAATAAACATTTTTTTATTGAGATAATGTTTGGGTGATAAGTAGTGATGCAACGAATACTACTTTAACGAATACTAATATCCAACCTACTATTCGGCGAATACGAATACGAATATTTCGCCATGGTAATAAAAACTATTTGATGATTTTCTTTTGTGCTAATAATTAAAATTTACAATAGGCTATTTTTTATTTCAAAAACATAAAATTTGTAGATTTTTTCTGTAAGGTGGGTTCTAGATATAATATTATGTCTATAATACGATGTACGAAAGTTTGTGATTATGTGTGTATGTACAACCGCTAAACGGATTTGACTGAAATTTGGAATGAAGACAGCTTATACACCTTAATTCAGATTAAAACATAGGCTAGACTACTTTTTATCCCGATAAATAAAATTCCCATGGTAGGGCAAAAGTGACTAAAACCAACTTCTGCACGGGCGAAGTCGCGGGACAAGTATAGCATTTCAATATGAGCAAACAAACCTTGGAGCTGGTTCACTGAGCAAACAACGGTATCCCTTTTTATTTATAGAGTTGCGTATAACAATATTAGTTTTTAAAATATACGTGATTAGTATTCGCCGAATACGAATATTCGGTAATCGTCTACTATTCGGCGAATACGAATATTCGTATTCGTTGCACCACTAGTGATAAGTCATAAACAAAAGAAAATTCGTTATTTCAGGCTACATCAGCACAGTCGCAAAACGACGCAAGCGAACCTGACATCTCGGAAGGACGGTACGGGATGCGTAAACTAATCCAGTCATCAGGAGAGCACCGTGAACGTATCTACACTGATGTAAAGGACTTAAGTGTTAGTTTAGATGGAAAGGATGTTTGGGTTAGAGGTAAACTATATTGCAAAGATTAACATTAAAATAATTATACTGACTTATAGATGGCCGTGTAGTGATGGTGTAGGATTATCCACTACCTCATGTCATCTTGTGAGTGCTGTAATAGGCGACAGAGGGAATTAAACCAGGAGACGGGCAGCAACATCATCCTAATATCAAATAGAACATAAAAACTGCAGTTGCCAACACCTGCTAAACGTGGCATCTATGGCAAATATTAGCTTGAGGTAATGACACAAAAAATGATAAAAATATCTGTTATAAAAATAACTTTTTGTTGCATTTCTTCCTTGCTCTCATCAAAGAATTCTTCCACACTTTAGACTTTCAAACGTCTCTTTACATCTCTTTAACCAATTTCAAGTGTTTATTTATGTGAGGGGAAGTATCTGCACAAAGATAAAGTCCCACAGCTGTAACTCTTGTGCAATTTTTTAATTAATTTTCTTGATGAAATATGTTTGTCTGTTTGTCACTATTCACTTATTACTCGTTTTTCTCTGGTTATCTCTTTTCGTGCACCAGCATTAGATCTGTATGTGTATTTGTGTTACTTGAATATCTACATTGTCTAAATGCCACTGTCAATATGATCACTTGTTATTAATGATAAAGTATACCAATATTTGGTTCTTAGGTTCGGCATATTTGATCACTTGGAATTTCTTTACTTAAGTTACACTAAAATTCATACTATAATAATAATGTCCTCCAGGCCGAATTTCTGTCACGTCGGCCAGCCTCAACTTAAGCTAGCCATCGGCGTCAGACATATTTAGTGCCCAAGTGTATGCGCAAGCACAGGCGTACTCCCTATTCCCTCACTCTCATAGTCCGATCCAATACGAGATAGAGAGATCGGGCCCTGGACCAACGGCTTTACGTGCTTTCCGAGGTACGGGTGTGAGACACCGCCAACGTCCTGACTCTGGGCAGATGCTGAGAATTTCTTGACGGAAAAACGCAATAATTATTTATTTCGTATACTGTAAAAGTCCTCAGCTGGATTTGTACTTTTCCTGTTGTAGGATTGATTTACCTTAATCACATAATTTGACAGGCGGGTTGGCGATCTCAGTACCAGGCGCCTGGTACCTTTGATGCTGCTCACTGTGACGTCGGCTAGGGTATTCTTAGGGTATATCTATCAAAAGCCACAATATTTCTGGCCTTTCCCTAATCCCTTTTACTACTTCTATATTCTCTTACACTTCCACTACATGGCTGAATGAGTTTTTTTTTATTTATATAAGGTGACAAACGAGCACACAGTCCGCCTGATGGTAAGTGTTTGCTGCGGCCCATAGACATCTACATATATCCTCGTTTGCGAATCAAAATGCAGAAGCGTTGTCACCCGTGAGAACTAAGATGGAATGCCTCGTTTCCAGTAAAAAGGGTCTCCAGTTCTCTATACTCACCATACGAAACACAGCAGTTTTAAGCTGCTATTTTACGCTGGTATTCTGTGAAAGCATGGTCCCTCCCCGGTCGAGCCGACCCATTCGTACTACAACTATACTACTTATATAGCTGCAGCATGGCTCTACCACGTACATAGAGTTTATGTTATCATCACCACCATTAGCGCCCTTCACAAGTCCAATCATGTTTAATGTCCATGTCACACCTATGCCGGTAGTTGTTGGGAACACTAAGCTCGAAGTTGTTGACGAGTATGTTTACCTGGGACAAATAGTCCAACTTCGACCGAGAGGTCAATCGACGGATTCAACTCGGTTGGGCAGCGTTCGGGAAATTACGGCACATCTTCTCGTCAGGTATACCTCAAAACTTGGAAACGAGACTGTACACCCAGTGCGTGTTGCCAGTGATGACATACGGAACTGAGACGTGGTCCTTCACTGCTGGCCGGATGAGGAAGCTCAAGGTCGCTCAGCGAGCTATGGAGAGGGCTATGCTCGGAGTTTCTCTGCGTGATAAACTCAGAAATGAGAATATCCCCAGTAGAACCAGAGTGACCGACATAGCCCAACGGATTAGTAAGCTGAAGTGGCAATGGGCCGGCCATATAGCTCGAAGAACCGACAACCGATGGGGAAGAAAGGTTCTTGAGTGGCAGCCTCGTACCGGCAGGCGAAGTGTAGGGCGTCCCCCCACTAGATGGAGTGACGACCTGGTAAGATATGCAGGAAGTCGATGGATGCAGGTGGCTCAGGACCGTGCTTTGTGGCATTCTTTGGGGGAGGCCTATGTTCAGCAGTGGACTTGTGAAGGGCTGTAATGATGATGATGACAAGTCCAATGCTGAATATAGGCGGGGCCCGAAAGCACATATAATAATGACTTCATTTGAGTTGCATTTTCCATTGAGCATAATGGTATAACTTAATTCTGTTATACAAACTTTTTTTGTAGAAGTAAATATTATAAACCTTTAAAATATATTTTATCTTTGTGTTTCCGTAGCCAGGCTTCAAACTTCCCGTGCCAAAGGCAAGCAGTGCTTCGCCGTACTAAGACAGAGTTCCAGCACGGTCCAACTGCTGATCAACGTCAGCGAAGAGCGCGGCGTAAGCAAGCAGATGGTCAAGTTTGCTGGCAAGTCAGTGTATATTGTAAATTATGATTGGCCTAGTAGTCTAACCACTACCTTTCTTATGGATGAGGAGGCAAAGGAGCATACGCCTTACCTGATGAAGTGATCGTGGTGTTGCAGATATTCGTCGTCCATGAATATCTGCAACACCACGGAAATTGCAAGTGCATTGCCGGCCTTTTAGAAAGGTCCATGGCTCGAATTTAGCTGTAACATTAATTTAATAGTTTCAAATAGGTTTTACCTTTTTCATTCATTCAAACTGTTACATTCAAAGTACTATAAAATGCGAAGATATTTTGAACTTTTATTGTCATTATTCTTCACTATTTTTTACATTTTTGATAAAATCATCCAAAAGGTGAAAGAGCAGACATTTTGCTTAATCCTCTTCTTTATAGCTTTTATACCACTCGTTTTTTCCAGGTCTTTTTTAATGTCACATGATTTTGAACTCAAATCACTGGACATTACTTTTAAAAATGCTAATAAGTAGCAATACATGTCATTTCAATCGCCGATTTACAAAAAAAACCGAGTATAGTTGATCCAATCCATTTGCATATGCATGCGTTACATTGGGCAGACTGGTGACACATGTCGCACAGAATACCACCGTAAATTGTTTAATTTTCGTATTGTTTGTTACTGGAAACCCTTTTTACTGATAACGCGGCATTACATCTTATTCTCCTAGGCCGGCAACGTATCTATATTTTGATTCTTAATAGAGGATAGAAATATAGATGTGTGAACGCACATTTGTGAACCATACTCTATATTGGTGAGAACGATTAATGGATAATTATTCCATTACCACGGTGCATAAGGTCAGTTTGAGCTACGGAAAGAGCTATGTCCGGGATTTCCCTGCATAATAAATTTAGAAATGAGGTTATCCACAGTAGAACCAGAGTAACCACTGTGGATAACAGTAGAACCAGAGTAACCGACGTAGCCCAATTGCTTAGTAAGCTGAAGTGGCAATGGGCGGGCATATAGCACGAAGAACCGACAATCGATGGGGAAGCAAGGTTCTTGAATTGCAGCTTCGTCCTAGTAGGTGAAGTGTGGAGCGGCCCCCAACTAGATTGAGTGACGACCTGGTAAGACATGCAGGAAGTCGATGGATGCAGGTGGCTCAAGACCATTTTTTATACCCTTGTGGTATTCTTCGGAGGAGGCCTATGTTCATCAGTGGACTTGTGAGGCGCTGTAATGATGATGATAAAGTCGGTTTTAGATTGTTAGGTAATAAATCTAATATGATGAGAATTAATTAACAAGGAGCTTCATATTGTTGTGAAGCATCTTGGTCTGGGACTAATATCCCATGTTTATGTGGGACTTATAAGAAAAAAGAATGTGCTGTGTTAACTGTCTAATATGTCGTTAAAGGCGACTTAATGTTGTGTAGACGATGCGTTAGCCACCTATAACTTCTTTCACAATTTTCCATCTAACCTATATTCTTTGGTTAAAAGTGGTCCGAGCACCTCGCTGCTCTTTGGATTCCTTCTACCCCCTCAGTGAATACAGACGATCAGCTAAAGCTGGCGCGCGCGCCATGAATGACCGCACGGACCAGTGCGCTCCGCGTAACTCGTTCCAAATGTTCCAAATATATCAACTAAGCGCTCCTGGTGCGCGCGGCAGCTGTTCCAGTGTTTGACCGTTCAACATGGATGTCGGTCGTGTACGAGCAGCTGCCGCTTTCATAGTTCTCTCCATGCGTCTTCTCTGAGCGCTTTATTATGATAAAAACGACTTGGTACTTCACAGCAGTTTTTGAACCATACCTAGTCAGGTCATAAATTCTGTCACATGTTTAATATAAAATAATTGAAACAAGTTTATTCATTATGTAACCATTTATATACCAAAATGAACTTAACAAAACATAGATTCTTATGACACTAAAGTTTATTCAAAATGACCTCCGTGATTTTGAATACAGGCCTTCAATCTGCGCGGCCAGTCGTCTATCGCAGCACGAACGCGGTCCATGTCAATATCGGCGGCTGCCTTAATCAAGGATGTCTTGAGTGACTCCAAATTGGGATGAAGCTTTGAGCACGCCTTTTCCTCCAAGTGTTGCCATATCTTGTAATCTAACGGATTCAAATCTGGACTGGAGGAGGGCCAGTCTTCGTGCCAGATGAAGTCGATTTCACGCGCCGCCAGCCAGTCTTGTGTGCTCTTCGCTCTATGAGCTGGCACCGAATCATGTTGGAATACCCGGTGCCTGTTATTGAACATGGTATGAGAAACAGGTTCCACAAGGTTCGTCAGGACTGTATTTTGATACACAACTGCATTCGGATTTACACCTTTCTCACAAAAATGTACCTCTGTTAAGCCCCAATAAGAAACTCCCAACCATACCATGAGCGAGGATTGAAAATGACCTCGTTGGACACGCGGAATACGGTTGCTCGCTTCTTCACTACTATGTGCGTACACCTTATCATTTTGTTTGATGTAGCTCTCTTCTACGGTAAAAATTTTTTCATCCGAAAAAAGAATTTCCCGAAATTTTTTTCCCGCGTACCGCTTCAACAAAGCGCGGCATCTCTTCAGTCTCAGGTCCATTAGACGAGCATTCAAACGATGTCCTGTTTTTCTTCGATATACCCGAAGCCCTAAGTCTTCATTTAACACCCTTTTCACCGTGGTTCTGCTTAACCCCATCTGAAGGGCCAACAGTTTCTGCTTACGTTTGGGATTTCTTTGACTTCGCGCCTTCACAGCTTTTATCACTGCTGGAGTCCTAACAGACCGAGGGCGACCACTTCTTGACCTGTCATCTACACTAGAGTCTTCATTGTATCGTTTGATGGTACGATAAACGAATCTTTTGGTTACATTCAAATTTTTCAGTATGTCAAAAATTTGAATTGGCGCGTAACCGCAACGATGCAACGCAATAACTGCAACACGGTCTTCTTTAAGCGTCCACTCCATATTTAAAAATGAGTAAAATTCTAAAAAGTATACAGTTTTATTTTCATGAACAATTCGAAATTCGAATTCAATAAACTTTTTTGTGGCCAGCATTCTAAAAGAAAAATTTTTACTGTGTGACAATACTTATGACCTGACTAGGTATAATTTTATCAATTTACCGCAACTTTGGTTATCCATAGCTCGGAACGCAACGAACACACGAATGATGAAAACAACCGTCCCAACCAGCGAGCACGCCGAAACTTAACTATAACTACTTTGATACGCGGTAAAAAACCGACATCAGGTGGAACGGCCCGCTCCACGTATGAGCGTTCCAACGAACAATTTGGTGCGCGTTCCAAGGCGATATACATTTCGCGCGGCTGGAACGCGCGCCAATGTTCGACCTCTTGGAGCGCATAGTCGATACGTGTCTTTAGTATACATGTATATGACTAGCTGGTTCAAATCATAGAGCCGCAGTTGCAGTTGCCAAATTAAATAATAATAATAATCATAATAAATTTATTTTTTGAATAAAACTTATTTGAAACAAAGTTGAAGCCCTGACTCCCGAACTAAATTCGGGAGTCTGTGTGTCGGGAGGGTTCCCATTATGTAATAAAAATAACTTCAATCGTCCACAGCATCACAAAAGAGTCAATAGTGGACGTCCGGGGAACAGTTATTAAGACCAGCTCTCCAGTAGAGTCATGCACAATTCACGAGGTGGAATTATTGGGTGTCGAATTGTGGCTTGTGTCTGCTGCCAAACCTCAGCTGCCTCTACAGATCGAAGACGCCTCCAGGCCGGAGAAGAATGATGTAAGTCCTAGAATGAGATAGATATTGTGGTTTTGTCTGCCTGCCTGGATGCCTAGCAACCATAGCAACAAATCCTTTATCTATTGTTAAGAAGCATTTGCGTTCAGTTATTTAAGGGAAAAGAGGCATTTTAATATTTCTGCTGCAGGTGTATATGGCACCATGGTCTATTTTGTAATTACGTGGTTTCGTATTCTTTGCACTTAAAGTAAAATATAAATGATGTTTATTATCAAACCATTTTGAATTTTTATAATATAACTGTTTATAATTAATATATCCTATGCAGTAACTTCTGATAAATGCATTTTTTTAATAGGATAAGAGTGACAAGCGGCCACACAGTCCACCTGATGGTAAGTGGTTGTTGTGGCCCATAGACATCTACTTCAATCTTCATTTGCGAATAAAAAGCAGATGCGTTATCAGCCGTGAGGATTAAGATGGAATGCCTCTTTTCCAGTAAAAAGGACCTCCGGTTCTCTACACTCACCAAACGAAACACAGTAGTATCAAGCTGCTATTTCACGCTGGTATTCTGTGAGAGCGTGGTCCTTCCCCGGTCGAGCCGACACATTCGTGCTACAACTGTACCATTAATATAGCTGTAGTATGGCTCTACCACATATGAAAATATATGTAATATTATCATCATCATCACATCCATCAAAGTCCACTGCTGAACATATGCCTCCCCATAGATTGCCTCATGTGGGGGACATTTGTTATATTTGCCACGCTTGGCAAGCGGGTTGGCAAACCCAGTTTTCTATTTTCTAATTGTTACTACGAAGGCGCTGCTGCCCATTTCCTGATTTATTTCTCTCCATCTCCTATGACGCATGAGACAATATGATATCTATCTGACTACAGGACCCGGAAGCCCTAAAGATCCGCGTGAACCAAGACACGAGACTGGACAACCGTGTACTGGATCTGCGTACTCCAGCCAACCAGGCCATCTTCCGCATTGAGGCCGGCGTCTGCAGACTCTTCCGTGATATTCTCACAAAGAAGGGTAAGTTAGAAATAACTGCCTTATTTAAAATAACAAAAAGTAAGTAACCCACTGAATAGTACCTCTAATTTTTGTGAGGATAACGCACCTAATGGCGAACATTGAAGGAGGCCTACGTCAAATCGTTGTCTTAATAAACCCCAGGAAAAAATATTTTTTCATAGCAGGAGATTTGTGTGGTTTTCTTAACATTTACGACAGGGGTTAAGATGGAGTGATGCATGGCTTAATGCATGTCTTTATGCAATAAGCCATGGTAGCTCAGGGGCTTACTGGCGGACATCAAACTAGGCTATGCCTAGCCTGTATTTTGATGAAAAAACTTCTAATCAAATAAGTCTTACATCGGATTCGAGACGAATTAGTACCAGTATGTACAGTCTTAACATCTGTTAGTACTCCAAATTTTATCCAGGATGATATAAGACTGTAACTGTAAGTTTATGTTGCTTCTGAAACAGGATTCGTGGAGATTCACACACCTAAGATAATATCAGCGGCGTCGGAGGGTGGCGCGAATGTCTTCACTGTATCCTACTTCAAGTCCTCGGCTTACCTCGCACAGAGTCCGCAGCTTTACAAGCAGATGGCCATAGCGGCGGACTTTGATAAGGTCAGTGCTCTCACACGCACACAGACAGAAACGTAAACACGTGCGCACTCAAACACACACACACACACACACACACACACACATTAGTGTAATCAGGCCTCTATCACTCTTGCTACCTGCTTGACGTAAATACCTACAATCGCAGTCAGGGCTAGCGCGTTTTAAGCGAGCGACGTACTAGTAAATTTAAACGTTAACACTGTTTACTTAAATAGATTTTTGTAAATACGGTGTTTAAATAGTTTTGTTTATTGTTTAGTATATTTTGTTATATGATAAAACAGCTGTATGTTTTAGTGCAATTTATATTTATGTATTATATATACTGTAGAAAATATAATCATTAATAACATTGAAAACATAATAACGAAAAAAAAACAGCAGTTAATTTACTAAAATTATTAACAAAATATTAATTTTATCTATCCGTGCCCATGTTTTCCATCCTAGTATTTAATTGAATTATAAGTCAGATTTAGAGTTTTTTCCACTCTTAAATTTAATCACAGTTATTATAAAGACGTTAAGAAATTATATTAGAGTAAAACAGTTGTAAATAAAATAAATAATTAAAATATGCTATATATATATATATATATATATATATATATATCTATATATATATATATATATATATATATATATATACTGTATTTTTTTACCACGAAATATCGTCCATCGCAGGAAAGGGAAAGATGCAATGCCGAACCAAATACGGACCCTCGTGCGTAGCGATAAAGTTTAATTTCGCTTGGGATACTATCGTTATCAATTGCTTGCTGGCTTAAGCTACCGTCAAAATCTCTCGCAATATGACGATGACGAATCAACATATTGTGGAGAAATTTTATAAAATGTAAAACCGTTTGATGTATTCTTTTAGCGGAAGGTTCTTGTAGCTTGTAGCCAACATAAATGACAAAATTGTGATGTAGAGACAGACTCAACGTATGTACTACTCACGCAGATGCACGTAATGGTATACGCAATGCAATCACTGAAACAAATATGGCCTTACACAAACACACTCATCCACCTTTGTATTCAAATAACGAAAATAAGCATTCGACAAATTGATGCAAGCTAAGGTCGATATTAGAAACGATCTGAATCAACCGCAGTTTTATTTTTATACGGCTGTTATCGGGAAGACGCTGCTGCCAATACTTGATTGAGTTTCCCTCTGTCGCCTCTTACGACACCCACGGGATGATATGGAGTAGTGGATATTCCTACACACCCACTACTCAGTTATTTTACATAATAATCAAGTCACCATAATAAACTGATTATCTAAATAATCCTATTTTTTAGGTATTTACAGTTGGGGCAGTGTTCAGGGCGGAGGACTCGAACACGCACCGCCACTTGACGGAGTTCGTGGGTCTGGATCTGGAGATGGCCTTTAAGAACCACTACCACGAGGTGCTGGACACCATTGGCTCCACCTTCACGGAGATGTTCCGTGGCCTGCAAGAACAGTAGGTTTTAGTGCACACACATCTAGAAATCTATTTCGCAGTTCTCCAGCTGAAAAATAAACGACTAAGTCTTATCTATATAGCAACAATGATTTTAAAGTTATGTTCGATTACAAACTGACACCGATAACTTAGATAGCTATTATAACAATACTTAAATTTAAAAATAGTTCTATTTTAACTCAGAACTTACATGTAAAATTGAATCCAATATTATATATAAACATTAGAGTGGTTAGCAAGTTCGCAATATCTACTCTAAGGTGTCAATGGGCTGTCTAGACACTGTACCACTGTGCGCATAGACACCTCAAGTAACTTGAAACATATTTCGATGCTTTTTCACTCCAGTACGAACGCTACTGTAGTAAAGAACCCTAATCTAATCTATAAATAGATAAAAAATTAAAATATTTGATAGCTCGATAGAGCAGTGACTTGAAGTGTATTTATTTATTTATTTTATACATAATTACGACATGATTACAAAAAAAAATCATCGTTAATTTAGTTAAGTTACGGCTAGTTACAGCTTAACATAAGGGTAGCCACTAGACGGAGTGACGACCTGGTAAGATATGCAGGAAGTCGATGGATGCAGGTGGCTCAGTACCGTGCTTTGTGGCATTCCTAGGGTGAGGCCTATGTTCAGCAGTGGACTTGTGAAGGGCTGTAATGATGATGCTGATGATGATAAGGGTAGCAAGCAAAAGCAATAATATAAAAAAGTGTATCTCTCTCTCTGTGTGTGGGTGTGTGCGTGCGTGTGCGCGTGTGTGTGTGTGTGTGTGCGTGCGTGTGCGCGCGCGCGTGTGTGTGTGTGTGTGTGTGTGGGTGTGTGTGTGCGAGAGAGAGAGAGAGTGTGTGTATGTGTGAGTGTGTGAGTGCGCGAGCGTGTGTGTGCGTGTGCGTGCGCGTGCGTGCGTGCGTGCGTGCGTGTGAGTGTGTGTGTGTGTGTATATGTGTGTGCGCGTGTGCGTGTGCGTGTCTGTTTGTGTGTGTGTGTGTGTGTGTGTGTGTGTAGGAACTAGATCTCGATACAAGACAATCAAACCGAACGACATCTGGTCCAATCACAACACATGGCTTCGACTGAAACTCAAACTCAGGACTCGATGACCAACAACTTAGTAATAACATTGAAATTTTATTGTTCATCATTTAATAATTTGGCAGATTCGCGTCAGAAATTGCGACAGTGGGCCAGCAGTTCAGGGTGGAGCCCTTCAAATTCCTGGACCCGCCGCTGAGGCTCGAGTTCCCGCAGGCGATACAGATGCTCAAGGAAGCTGGTTAGTGGTCTGGTATAAGAATACCCTCGTATCGCCCCGTGGGTGTCGTCAAGTCAAACTGGGCAAGTGTGATATATTTATCACAGTTGCCTAGTTTGCTTCATATACTACTGGATATTATTCTTTTTCTATTTCCTATTCTTCATACATTCCCAGTAGTATATGAAGCAATCTATGGGGAAAGTCTATGTTTTTTTTTTTAATAATAAGGGTGACAAACGAGCACACAGTCCACCTGACGGTAAGTGGATGCTGCGGCTAATAGACATCTTACATTTATTATCGATTAAGTATCAAAATGCAGATGCGTTGTCACCCCTTTATTTTCTATCTTTCTATGTTTTGTCATGGACTTTTGATACACTGTAATGGTAATGTAATGTATTCGTCTATTACATGTTTTCATTAATTACAGCCTATCACAAAGAGAATATCCACCTGATGGTAAGTGGTTGCTGTGGCCCATAGACATTCCTCAATTACGAATCAAAATGCAGATGCATTATCACCAGTGAGGACTAAGATGGAATGCCTCGTTTCCAGTGAAAAGGGTTTCTGGTTCTCTACACTCACCATACGAAACACAGCAGTGTTAAGTTGCTATTTTACGCTGGTATTCTGTGAGAGCGTGGTCCTTCCCCGGTCGAGCCGACCCATTCGTGCTACAACTATCCTACTAATATAGCTGCAGCATGGCTCTACCACGTCCATCATACTTGCCATAATTGACAGCCGCAGTTTTTTATTATTATTAAGTTGTTATCAGGAAGATTCTACTGTCCGTCTCTGTGTAAATCGCTTACCGGAGCGAAGGCCTGTGAGCTTTGGCATTATTTTTTGTTTCTAGAATATTACTCCACACACTAGGAATTTCTCCTATATCATGGAGGTATTATACATACTACCCGTGCGGTTAAAGAATGGGACTGAAATTGGCGTCGTCTCTATTCACCTCTCGCTCACACACTGTCTTTATCTATACTCGAACCCGCCGGTAAAGACTGCAAAGAAATTACGTTGCGATATGCGTTTTTCGTACGTTCTATAACTTCAGTGCAACTTGTCATTGAAATCAATGATAACAAAATGCCATATCATACTACAAAAAAGAATATAGTTCAGTTTCGCTAATTTATGAGCTACTGCGCGTTATTAGAGTTTTATTTATAATTATTGTCAATTTTTTTTGTTAATATTTTTGTATAAAATATCTGTATGCTATTGAGACATGAGGAACTATTTTTAAAATTTTCGTTTGTCTGTCTGTCCCAATTAATCTTCGGAATGGCTGAACCGATTGTAATAAAACTTTACGATTTAAAAGCAGGAGTAGTCTTGAAAAATTTTTATCCTAAAAACTTGAAATTTTATTAAAATAGAAATATAGATAAAATAAAATAAATGATCTTTTATGATTATCTTAAGTCTAAAAAACGCCACATTAATAGACCCACCCAGGCGAAGCCAAAACGGGTCGCTAGTTATAAATGTAATTTTAAAATTAACGTACGTACTTGCGTACGTACTATACAATTATTTTCAAATATTTTCCCATTAATTGAAAATTTCCAATAAACCGAATAACATAACGTTATAACGATATACTGTTATTCGCGGGTTATCGCTATTGGTACTGTGCATGTTGACGGTACGGACTCGGTGAGCCGCCATTTTTAATCCCATTCTTTATCCGTACAGCCTGTGCTTAGATTGCACATGGGCAATTATCCCTCAAGTTCCCAACAAAAAAGGGCAATAATCCCAAAAATTATTTGTGGCAACATACAATTGTTCTGTGTCGAATCCGCGGTCCGCGGTGTCGCAAACAACCGCCATGGCTGGGTATGCCATTGTAATGCCTATATGAATTAATCTTTGATAACGAGTACCGAACCTAGGGCGCAAGTTCTAGCGTTCACGGAGTATTGTTACCATATATGGGAGAGTGCTGCAAAATGTCTCCTACCTTTTTGGACTCAACGGAAAGGCGTGCTGGTAGGCTTATTGGTGACCACAATAAAGTTAAAACCAATCTTACCAGTCTCGAGTACAGGCTCAAAGTTGATTATCGATGTTTTACAGAAATTACGGAAAGTGTGCGCAGGAATTGTTTGACTAATTCTCTACCCCATTGTTATCAACATAACATTCGAACTAAACGTTTTGCTTCGTAATGCGAACATCAAAGTAGTGGAATAATTTGCCAGCACCTGTCTTTCCATCCGATTATAATGTGGGTGTCTTCTTCTTGGCAAGTGTGAATAGGTTTTTGTTAAGTTAGTGCGCTTCACCATTCGAAGCTGTATCACCACTTACCAAAACTTGGGATAGTAGTCAACGTTGACTAATAATAGAAAAAAAAGCCGACTGCTCGAGATTGAAGGGTAAGATCGCAAGGCTGTGAAGCATTCCATCTTAGTCCTTCAGAGTGACAGCGTAACTATGTTTATTGATGTTGGCTGCAGGCATCCATGAGATTGACCATGTATTATCAAGTAATCTGAAAGTTCTTTGACCCATTTTGTATTATAAAGAGCTTTAACTAATTATTAGATTTTCAGGCGTAACCCTGGGAGAGGAGGACGATCTCTCAACTCCAGACGAGAAGCTCCTGGGCAGATTGGTGAAGGCGAAATACGACACGGACTTCTACATCCTGGACAAGTACCCTCTGGCCGTGCGTCCATTCTACACGATGCCCGACCCCAACAACCCCGTATGTATAATAATTAAACGTACACTTATCTATACAAATAAATAAAATTGAAGTGTCTGTTTGTAATGTCGAAATAACAGCTTTTTACTATATGCTCATGAAAGTATATACGGTACTTATAACAAAAACACGGTTTTTAAAATTTTTGTCTGTCTGTCTGTTTGCTCCGGCTAATCTCCGAAACGGATGGACCGATTTTGACCGGACTTTCACTGGCAGATAGCTGATGTTATAAGAAGTAACTTAGCTACTTTTATTTTAGAAAAAGAATTGAAATATATTAGCAATTTAAGTGGACAATATTTTGTTATATTTTCAGATAGCAAAAGCGCTTTAAAAGCGCCTCTGGTCATAGCAGAGGTGCATCGATAGGTTATGGGATATTAAATCAACTATATGATTACAGAAGTCGCTATATAAATATAAAATTGCAATGGGTTCCATCGCATATATGTTTAAAGGGAAACGAAGAGGCTGACCTATTAGCAAAAGCCGCTATAACGCAAGGAATCGAATTAAATATTTTACCAATTTACACGGAAATCTCGACAAAATTCAAAAACCTTTGTCATGATAAATTTAGAGAGTATTTCGATGAAAGAAGCAGGGAAAAGGGAATATGGTATAAAACAATTCAAAGTCAGCCTCTTCGGATACCGTGGTATAATAATATTGAAATGAATAGAAACCATATAATTGCTATTCATAGGTTATGTTCTGGGCACTATCCCAATAAAATATTTGTATTTTTGATGAAATTCGTCAGACTCGCCCAATTGCGATATTTGTCATATTATAGAAGATGTCCAACATATGCTAGCAGAATGTGTCAAATATCAAAAGGAAAGGGAGAATCTGGTGCAAAAATTTAATATCAATTTGAGTGAAACGGTTTTTGAGTATACTTGCGGAGCCACACTCAGTGGTAGCAAAATCATTCATTTCCATATTCTTACCACATTGATTCACCCTTTCTAAATAGCATTTGTGTAACACGAATAAGTTAGGTTACGATAAGGTTGACATATCCTTGTAGGATAAAAGCCTTTTTAAATATAGATAATTAAAAAAAAGAATTAGGATTCCGCGCAAAAAATTAAAATTAAAACTAAAATATGCGCGGGCGAAGTCGCGGGGAACAGCTAGTATTAAAATATATATAGGACCGTGTAGTGGCGGTGTAAGAATATCCACTACCCCTATTATAATTATTTCCGGGTGTAGTAAGAGACGACAGATGGAAACAAATTAGGAGATGGGTAGCAGCGTCTCCCTTATAGCAACTAAACAAGAAAATAAGGCTGCCAACCCGCTTGACAATTATAGCAAATATCCCCTTTTGAGTCAATCTATGGGGGAGGGCTATGTTCAACAGTAAGCTTTTGACAGGCTGTAATGATAACATACCCTGTGCGGGATGATATTTTATGATGTTCTCGTACGCCGCCACCACAATGCACTACATTTACCTTGGGACGCTGCTAAACGAATTTATGCTCTGATTTTTTCGCAGAAAGCGTCAAATTCGTACGACATGTTCATGCGCGGCGAGGAGATCCTGAGCGGCGCGCAACGTATCCACGACCCCGAGTTCCTCACGCAGCGCGCGCAGCACCACGCCGTCGGTGAGTCGCACAACTATTCCGAAACTGTCGCGCAACTGTACCGCAACTGTTGCCCAACTACTGCCGGCAAAGAATCCTATGTATATTATTAGACCGCCAATTCAATTAATTCAATTCGTAGGTTAACTGCAACGGTAAATATGCCACGCAGTTGTATTATCATTTACAACAGTTACTGTTTTTAGACAAATACGAAATACAAAATTATAACGCTAATTAAATTACGGAAAATTGAGCGTAACTTAGTGCGCAATGTATTTTTTACACAACATCAAAAAAGGTGGAGTTTTGAAGTTCGTCCGTTTACTATTTGTATCATGGAATTTTCGTCAGTTGTGAATGGATTTTGATGGTTCTTTTTCACGAAATAGGTTTTATTCGCGGATGGTTCGATATAAATTTTGCAGAAAAACCCTACCACATACGGGTGGCAAAATGGGGGATGAACTTTTTAATTCTATTTTCTTTAAAAGAAAAACAAAAACGTAACCTCCACACTGGGATGTTCTCCTGTATCGTGGAGGCAGTTTACATACGTAAATTGCACAAGGACAAACATCCAGACCCAGAACAATTATTTGTAGGCCATACATATACTTGTTCCGTGCGGGATTCAAACCCGAGGCCCTTAACGCTGCAACTCATACTAAGCCACTGCGCCAAGGAGCCGTCACTTATTTATTTATTTATTTATTACAATTTTAGGAGAACTTACAGCTGGTTATAAATGTGTGAACAATAAAAATAAAAAAATGTACTGAAGGCCAATTAGAAGTTCCCACTTATAAATAAAGTACAGAGAAAAATTGCACAAGTGACGTAGACGTAGATTTAATGACACAATAAAAGATGATTTAAAAAGTAAAATGAAATAAATAACAATGCATGGTATATGTAATACACTTCAGTAAACGAAAAACTTATTACTCAGTAGACGCTTAAGCTGCCTGCTAGAGGTGTTAAATAAGTCTACATTTTGTATTTTCGCCACGTCATTGAAACACTTGTTCACTCTTATTAAATAAGAATTTTGCCTGTAGTTTGTATTTACTCCCGGCACGTATAGTTTGCATGGCTTGCGTGAAGATGCGTATGGAACTTGTAAACGTATTTGCTCCAACAGTTCGGGACAGTCGATCGTGCTATTTGCTATATTAATTAGAAAAGATAGATCCGCTATGCGCCTTCTTTCATATAGCGGCAAAATGTGAAACTTTCGGCAACGTGTTGTGTAATTCGGTAGAAAGATCTTAACTCTAAATTGAAGATAGCGAAGAAATTTTTTCTGAATCCGTTCAATACGCGTAGAATAAATATTATAAGTAGGATTCCATACTTGAGAGGCATACTCTAGATGACTTCGTACGAAAGCACAGTAAAGAATTTTGAAGGTTTTAATAGAATTGAAATCAGAAGACATTCTTAAAATAAAGCCAAGCGCATTAGAGGCTTTGTTTATAATATTGTCAATATGTTTATTAAACAGTAATTTCATTATCTGTTTCACATTTTTTGCAGTAGCAATATACAAACATGCGACACGCGACGGCATTATTAATGAAAGAGTGGCAATGAGAAGTGCTGCTATTTTCAATCTCTTTCTTTTATCGACCAAGTGTTAAACTAATAACCAGTATATTATGCTGATTTACCTTACCAGTATATGAAAATTTCCCTAGTAGTAGTTTACTAGTTCACCTAGTGACCACTAGTACTGGTAGGTCTACTTAAACTGAACATATTTTTAAGGTCATTGGCATTATACGCGAAAAAATTGAAAACTGCGAAGCTTTGGTCGGGTCGTTAATCAAATAATAAATCTGTAACTATGGCGTCAGTAACTAGGTATCTAATTACTGAGGGGAGGGTTGCTGGACGTACCAGTTGCTCGTACAAATATCTTAAAGTACGCACCGGTTGTTCGTGCAGCTAGAATGCTTAACATCGTAGCACAACGATTAGACATATTTAATTGTACATTGGCGGAATTCGAGAGGGTGACATTAAACTATTTGTCTTTTTTACATTAGTGGCCACATTGTTGCAGGCTCCACTCCTGTAATAACAATCGTGAGTTAGTAAATAAATAAATAAATTATCTAGATCTACCTATAAATAATAATATCTTACCTTTCGGTATCCTTAGGAACAGTAAAGAATGTGGGTGCTTAAATAACAAAAGTCGACATCCCTATTGTTATTTAAGCACCCGTATGCTATGCAGTACCTTTTGGCTTTTTGAAAGGCCATACTTGAATAAAAACTCAAAAATAAATACCAAAAGTGCCTAAATACTTAGTAGAGAAAAATATTTTTTTGTTAACGTAAGGCGCGCGTCAACTCGAGCGGGCGCTTGACAACCTCACGGAATTAGCCCCGCAGCGGAGGTGTATTTTCATGCATAAAGCGCGGAGTGAGACCGGCCTGGTTATACTCTGTTCGCTTAGATATGCCTTTGTGTCGCGCCGCCTTGGCACGTGCCGCATCTTGACAAAGGCGCCGCCGCGACATCAGAATTCGCCGAGTGCAAAGAACCTTTCACTACGTAGTGAAAGTTTTTTTTGCTACCTAACTTGTGTTTATTATTTATATTCGTATTTTATTACAATAGTCATAAGAATAAAATAGTATTCTATTTTATTCTTAGAATAGAAAAACATTTATTTAACAAACACAATAAAAAATAATAAAATAAAATCTTAATAAGTACGCCTCCGAGTGTACCGACAATATCTTAGCGAACTGACTGTACCATATAGTAATGACATTATTTATTTCACAGATATAAGTAAAATTGCTGCGTACATCGAATCGTTCAGACTGGGATGTCCGCCTCATGCTGGTAAGTACGAATTTTGAACATCTCCCATTGTATACGGGCTTTAGTCATTTATTTATTTATCTACACTATATACTATACTATTATAAAGAGGAAAGATTTGTTTGTTTGTTTGAATTGAATAGCCTCCGAAACTACTGGACCGATTTGAAAAATTCTTTCACCATTAGAATCCTACATTATCCCTGAAGAACATAGGCTATATAATATTTTCAAAAAAGTTAGGGATCCGTATGAAAATTTCGTTAATGTAACCCAAGGTGTGAAAAAAATACCAAAAAGAATCCTTATATCGGGTACGCTGTGGAAACTATTGATAATAGAGCAAAGTAATGTACTTCAGTTTTATAGAGGATATCAATATCTACAAAAGAGTCTGCGATACCATATGTTTAACTATTACAGTTATGTCACCATAACTACTTTTTCATGTTAAAATGTAAAATAGTAACGCCGGTACAAACTAGGTCACATTATTTGTATCAGTACCTGTATCATGCATAATCACCAATTACGTTAACCATGTAATTTTAGTAACATATTTCACTTTTTAAATCTTTGTTAATTCAGCAACCGTCAATCGTGATGTCTCTCTCGAAGTTCGCATGTCGCAAGGCGCAGACGCGTGATATACGCGGGTGTAACCGCGGGGCACAGCTAGTTGAATATATATTGTAAGGCACCTCAATCTAAGGGTACAATGGGCCGATGGCATTCTCTACCGCTTTACCTTAATAGTGACGCTTGAAGATAGCAGTACACGACGTTTCGCACATTTGACGCTGCTGTTTGTCGCCGCTCTGGATATGTTATTTATCGACTAACCTAACTAACTGCCTACGGGACGAAATGGGGCGATAGATTTTTAACAGTGGTAGAGCCACGCGGCAGCTTTTGCTGTCGCACGGATGGGCCGGCTCGAACCGGGGTGGTACCACGACCTCACAGAAAACCAGCGTGAAGTAGAGGTTTAGCTCTGCGTTTCGCTTGGTGAGTGCAGGTGGCCGGAGGCCCTTTTTACTGGAAATGAGGCATTCCATCTTAGTCCTCACGGGTGACAACGCATCTACATTTTGATTTGTAATAGAGGATAGATGTAGATGTCTATGGGCCGCAGCAACCACTTACCATCAGGTGGACTGTGTGCTCGTTTGTCACTCTTATCCTATATAAAAAAAAAATCTCCTCCGCCACCGCCATGCGGCACAGCAAGCGTTACACGGAGCATGGTTAAATTGGGACCGAAGCCCTCGTTTAATTTTCCAAACACGCGTACAATAAATGGTCAGTACTGTCAGGTCCAATGAAATTTTAATTGCAATTGTACGTGTTGATTCACCACGTGCTCGACGGTGAAGTGAAGCATCGTGAGGAAACCTGCATGTCTGAGGAATACAAAAATTTCGAAGATGTGAAGTCCGATAACAACCTTTTTACTGGAAACGAAGCATTCTATCTTGGTCCTCAGGGTTAACAACACATCTGCATTTTGATTCTTAGTCGAGGATAGATTTAGATGTCTATGAGCACGCAGCATCCACTTAACATCAAATGGACTGTGTGCTCGTTTGTCACCCTTATTCTATATTTAAAAAAAACTCTGAAGTAACGCGCGGGTCTAATTGCACCGTAACCCTCCGAGAAATGAGAAGAGCTCCCAGTGAACTTTTCCCAATGGTGGATCTATATAAAAATACGTGAAGAGAAAAGTTTGTATACCTTTTTAAGCATATTTCGTTTCGTTCACGGAGGAGTTTGAGGTTTGGCATAGTATAAGTTCCTATGGGAAAGGAGTAGTAGTATCCTGTAGCCTTCCTGTCAGTAACCCCCGACAATATACATTATGATATTAGTATTAAGTGTAGATTAAGAGAGACAGTTATAATTAAAGATTTAGTACCAGCAACACGTCTCTATCTCATTAACACCTTCCGACATTACAGAGTGCAGAAAGCTTTTTTTTTATAGAATAAAGGTACAAACGAGCGTACAGTCTCGCAGAACACCATACGAAACACAGCAGTATTTAACTTCTATTTTACGCTGGTATTCTCTGAGAGCGTGGTTTTTCCCCGGTCGAGCCAACCCATTCGTGCTACAATCATAATATAGCAGCTGCAGCATGGCCATACCACATATGATAAAATTTATATATAATATGTGTTAGAAATACATGAAATAAAATAATATAAAATAAAATATTTATTATTTACTTTCATACTGCCAAAATGTCAAACTATGTGTAATAAATACTAATAATGAGTCAACCCTTGCATATGTTTAGCGACTTGAGGTCGAGACAGCCTTGTGTATATTTTGATTTAATTGCATTTAATACTTGTATCGATTCTGGTGTGTTTCCTGATTTAATGAAGTATAGTAAAGTAATACCTTTATTTAAATCTGGTAGTACATTGGACCCCGCTAATTATAGACCTATTTCTGTACTACCAACTCTCAGTAAAATTTTTGAAAAAATAATTTTGGATCAATTGTTAATTTTTTTTTAATACAAATAAATTACTTCATAAAAATCAATTTGGTTTTACAAGGGGTCGCTCGACGTCTGACGCCGGTGTTGAGCTTATGAAATATATTTTTAATGCCTGGGAGAATTCACAAGATGCCTTAGGTATTTTCTGTGACCTTTCCAAGGCTTTCGATTGTGTTCATCATGATACATTAATCAGGAAACTACAACATTACGGTGTAAAAAATTTGGCGCTTAAACTTATTACTTCATATTTAAGTAACAGAACTCAAAAAGTCGTCATTAATGGTAAATGTTCCTCCGGATCAGTAGTATCAATGGGCGTTCCTCAGGGCTCGATTCTTGGCCCATTCCTGTTCTTAATCTATATTAATGACTTACCTTATCTTGTAGGGGACAATCACGATATAGTATTATTTGCTGACGATACCTCTTTAATTTTCAAACTGAAACGGCAGTCAATTAAATATGACGATGTAAATAATGCTCTATCGAAACTAGTACATTGGTTTAACGCCAACAATTTGCTCTTAAACGGCAATAAGACAAAATGTATTAAATTTACAATACCTAATGTAAAACATTCGAAAACCAATCTGCTCTTAAATGGGGAGGATTTGAGTCTTGTGGATACCACTGTTTTTCTCGGTATTACTATTGACGCGAAACTTCAATGGGGCCCCCATATATCTAAATTAGCAAGCAGACTTAGTTCTGCAGCATATGCTGTAAGAAAGATTAGAAGTCTCACAGATGTTGAGACAGCTAGGTTAGTGTATTTTAGTTACTTTCATAGCGTAATGTCTTATGGAATTTTGCTATGGGGTAATGCGACTGATATTGAAGCTATATTTGTTTTGCAAAAGAGAGCCGTACGGGCGATTTATAATCTAAATTGTAAAGAGTCCCTTAGAGAAAAATTTAAAGAAATAAACATATTAACTTTGGCATCGCAATATATTTATGAAAATGTAATGTATGTACATAAAAACATAAATAGCTTTAATAAGAATAAGGATGTTCATACCTTAAACACTAGGAACAAACATAAGCTTGTAATGCCACTTACAAGACTCCACAGAATTAGTAATTCATTTATGGGGCAATGTATACGCTTTTACAACAGAATCCCAGAACATGTTCAAAGTTTGTCAATAAACAAGTTTAAAAGTTTTATTAAAGAAAAACTATACAAAAAGGGTTATTATAATATCAAGGAATACATGAATGAAAATAACCCCTGGGAATAAGGTGATCGCCACCATGCTGGTTCTATGAAAATTCATTTAAAATTGTATAAAAAAAATTATTGTTAAGTGAAATTATGTTTAAAAAAAAGTCCCGCTGGGTTTCTTGCTGGTTCTTCCCAGGACAGAGGTATTTTCCGAACCAGTGGTAAATAAAATAATGAATAAAAATCATTCTATTCTATTCTATTCTATTTTGCGGTATGTCAAAAGAGTTGACAGACTATTAGTATTCATTACACATACTAGCTGTTCCTCGCGTCTTCGCCAGCGTGTAGTTTAGGGTTTTAGTTATGTTGCGCGGAACCCTAACTCTTTTTCTAAAATATAAGTAGCCTAAGTTACTCCTCATAACATCAGCTATCTGCCAGTGAAAGTCCGGTCGAAATCGGTCCAGCCGTTTCTGAGATTAGCCGGAACAAACAGACATAAACTTTAAAATTTGTATTTTTGTTATAAGTACCGTATATATACTTTCATATGCATTTAGTAAAAATTTGTTATTTTGACATTACAAACAGAGACTTCAATTTTATTTATTTTTATAGATTATGCTATAGATTTCTATAGATTTCTATCTATATGTGAAACGCTTTTATTTTATGTTTTGTATGTTAGACATATGTGTCTATATATTAATGTACATTATTTAAAAGTTAAATACAGCTTGCTTATTATACAGAATAACAGTTGAATTTTGACCACTGGACGACTACTAGTAGTGTATTAATAAGTAACTTAAATATATAATTGATTTTGTTCCAGGCGGTGGTATAGGTCTCGAACGAGTGGTCATGCTGTACCTAGGTCTGGACAACATCCGCAAGACGTCGATGTTCCCGCGCGATCCGAAACGCGTCACTCCTTGATCGCTGAAAGTTTACATAACTCACAATATACTATATACATCTTTATTTGTAAGCTATATTTGTATGATAAAGTTTGATTAATCGACGAAATGTTCTGGTTTCCTTTGCCTCTAATTTAGTAGGAATGTTCGGTTATTAAAAACACTTTGATCCGATCTAAAGGGTATGTAGCCAAAGACATGTGTATTACTAAACGGGCTCTACGGTACTAATATATTACGCACTAAGTTACGGTCAATTCTCCGTAACTTGTTTAGTCGACTGTGAGCGGGCGAGACGACTAGTTCTTTGGTTTTTAAACCGCGTACGTTGTTTTCGATAGTCTAACACTGATGTTGCTTAATGTGGCTAAGAAAACGCTGTCATTATTTATGTGTGCACTTTGTCAACGTGGTTTGAAGTTATTATAATAATTTCTTTATTTGCTTAAAACATGGTACAGTACAGTAAAATAAGTACACATTTTGCTTATAATTAGCATGCAAATTTAAGTTTATGTTACTTACATTTCAGGTAATATTTATTTTAAAAAGTGTCAAATACATTCATAAAATTAATATCAACAAATCAATAATTATAAAAGCCTAATGTCAATAAATTCTTTAATGTCATACACTTTTAGTTTAATAAGCCACTAATAACACACATTTTGAGGTTTTTGATATCATTGGGGATCTTATTATATATCGTAACACACATTGCTAATCAACTTTTTCTGAATTTAGCAGATCTCGGAATGACGCTTAACACTAATCTATCCGGATTTCTTTTCTATCGACTTCAAGAAGGAGACGGTACTCAATTCGACTGTGTTTTTTTATGTGTGTTACCTCATAACTTTTTACTGGGTAAACCGATTTCGATGATTCTCTTTTTATTTGAAAGCTGGTGCTTCACATGTGGTCCCATATAAATTTAATTATGGTCTGACCAATAGTTTTTGAATTATTCTTAATAATTTATATTGAAGTCGGTTGTACAAAATTTTTAATTTTAAATTATCAATCTAGAGTTTATATCTCTGGCTTTCTGGAAGAAATATTTCAGATAAGTATATAACTTTATTTCGTTTTTGTTTTAAAACAAACAACTGCGTGGCATATTCACCGTGCGAGCTACCCGCCCGTGCGATCCAAAGCTGTGACACAGTTTTTATTCTGAATTGCCGATCTAGTAGTGTACATTGTAGGCTTTGAATATGTATAGCCATTATAATTACAGTGTGTCAGGCATTCCATTTTATTCCTCAGAGCTGACAACGCTTCTGTACTTGTTTATTTGAACTTGGTTGCAGGTGACCACGGGCTGCAATAGCCACTTACTATCAGGTGGACCGTGAGTGCGTTTGTCACTTTAATTTTATAAAAAAAAACTAGTTATCCGCCCCGGCTTTGAACGGATGATTTCTGAATCTCGATAACAGCGCCACCTACCAGGCCCAACTATTGCCAAGAACACAGATGAACACATAAAATTTCATCAAAATCGGTCAAGTCGTTTAGGAGAACAATTACAAACACACGCACAATTGAATTTTATTATTATATAAATTTTTTTTTATAGGATAAGGGTGACAAACGAGCACACAGTCCACCTGATGGTAAGTGGTTGCTGCGGCCCATAGACATCTACATCTATCCTCTGTTACAAATCAAAATGCAGCTGCGTTGTCACCCGTGAGGACTAAGATGGAATGCCTCATTTCCAGTAAAAAGGGCCTCCGGCCACCTGCACTCACCAAGCTAAACGCAGAGGTAAACCTCTACTTCACGCTGGTTTTCTGTGAGGTCGTGGTACCACCCCGGTTCGAGCCGGCCCATCCGTGCGACAGCAAAAGCTACCGCGTGGCTCTACCACTGTTAAAAGTTTTATTTCATGTTTGTTGTGTGGATTGTATTTTAAGTGTTACTAGAAAATAATAACGAGAAATGGCGGGTTGGTTTTTCTTGTAGTGTAGGCACATGCAAATTGTCTAGTGTACGTAAAATCGAAAGCTCGAGGTTCAAATATTATCAGCAAGGCATTCCATCTTGGTCCTCTGACAACGCATTTGCATTTTGATTCTTAATCGTGAATAAATGTCGATACAACAAACACTAAAGTTTAGACTTTGGTTGGAAAAAAGTGGATGCAGACGTCCATGAGCTGCTGCACCCATTTATCATCTAGTGGTCTGTGTGTTCGTTTGTGAACCATACTCTATAAAAATAAGTTGTTTGCTAAGCAGCACAGTTAGCCTCACACGTCTTCGTGAGACAAAACATCTATACCTATTATTATAATTGTACGTAGTTTAACATTCATGGTACGCAAGCAAACATGCATTAGAGCACGGTGGCGGCTCTTCCCTACTTCTAACTCTCAGAAATCAGAAAGGCCCGTGCCCAGCAGTGAGATGTATAGTTGCTGATACTTTACTTTTCAAATTACTGCTCGGATACAAATTTTACAAAATAAAACACAGGAAATGTTACGAATAATGCATATATTACAATATAGTTTATCAACCGTACGTTCAATTTATCACACTTTGCTATAGTTAACCTGATACCACACTCCCGCAAAAATTTCTATGTATAGGTATTACTAGAAGGGCACTACAGAACTAATACACTGCGTAATAAGTTACGGTCAACTTCGTCGTAACTTTATTTGGTCAGCTGCAAGCGGGGGAAACATCGAACACTAATAAAAATCTATATACACAATCAGTAACAAAAAATGTCCTTACCGAATGAACGCCCACTCGAGCATTTGGGTGCGCTTTTAATTTTACGTAGCTTTGTAAATACAACTTTAGGCAATGCATTGAAGGTTGAATTTATATTAATGTATATTTATTTCAACTAGAATTACGTCAAAACAATTGGGGACTGTTTTTAGAGAACTTTTGCTTGCGATTGTGTATCTAGTTTTTTTTTAATTAGTGATCGATGGGGAGAGAAGACTAGTTCTTTGTTTTGTAAACCGCGAACTTTCAAATATTTAATTTTTTTTCACTGTTTTTCGACAATCTAACACTGATTTTATTTAATGTGACTAAAAAACACCGGCATTATTTATATACGCACTTTGTCAAAACTGTTATTTCGTATCTCTACATAGTATAAACAAAGTCGCTTCCCGAGCTCTGTACGCTTAGATATTTTAAACTACGCAACGGATTTTGATGCGGTTTTCACCAATACACAGAATGATTCAAGAGGAAGGTTTATATGTATAATACATGCATATTATGTATTATATAATTCTTTTGTCCGTGTGTATGTGACTGAACTCCTAAACGGCTGGACCGATTTTGATGAAATATTGTGTGTGTGATTCGTTGATTAGAGAAGAATTAGATTAACAATTGTACCCGGTAGGTGGCGTTGTTGTCGAGATCCAGAAATCAACCGTGCAAATCCGGGACGGATAGCTAGTTTGCCTAAAAACAGTAACTGTCGTAAATAATTATACAACTGCGTAGCATATTTATTGTGTCAGCCACCAGCCCACCTTTTTACGTGGTAGAGCCATGCTGCAGCTATATTAGTAGTATAGTTGTAGCACGAATGGGTCGGCTCGACCGGGGCAGGACCACGCTCTCACAGAATACCAGCGTAAAATAGCAGCTTAACGCTGCTGTGTTTCGTATGGTGAATGTAGAGAACCGGAGACCCTTTTTACTGGAAAAGAGGCATTCCATCTTAGTCCTCAAGGGTGACAACGCATCTGCATTTTGATTTGCAAACGAGGATAGATGTAGATGTCTATAGGCCACAGTAACCACTTACCATCAGGTGGACTGTGTGCTCGTTTGTCACCCTATCCTATAAAAAAAAACCTTACGCGCCCACGCAATCTACAGCTGTGACACTGATGAAAAATTCGTTTCGTTATGGACTGCCAGTGTACTGCCGCAGTACCCTAGGGAAATATATGACGTAATAAATCGCCGCCATTTTTGTACTGTGAGTACTGGCGCTTTCGAGGTAAGGTCCTCTCAGTACTTTGATCACGTGATCAAAAAAACAACAGCGCTTAGAGATTTAACAGCTTCAACGAATGATTGTTATCGATCAATTGGCACATTGGCACCCTTACGGGACGCTCCGCAGAACTTGCGGCCATACTTGCCAGGCGTAAAGTGGCAGTGGCATTCCTGCAGGAGACACGGTGGAAGGCCAACAGGAGCCGGAATATTGGTCACGGCTACAAGCTGATCTATACATGCTCTTCTGGTGGGGAGATGGGTGTGGCATTGGTGCTCGCCGAGCATTTCGACGATAGCGTCTTGGAAGTTGGACGCATATGCGACCGACTTATGGTAGTAAGGTTGCTTATTGAGGTGGTCGTGACCCACTTAATAAGTGCCTACGCCCCACAGGTCGGCTGCGGCGACGCGGATAAGACGCTGTTTTGGGATCGGCTCGGAGATGTACTATACGGCATACCGTTGTCCCACGATGTCGTTTTGGGTGGCGACCTGAACGGTCATGTGGGCGAGGTGCAGGGGGAGTATGAACGTGTCCACGGCGGCTATGGTTACGGCCGAAGAAACGCAGATGGGGAAACCATTCTCAGAACCTGCACTGCAGCTGACCTGGCCGTGGTGAACACGTTCTTCAAAAAGAAAACGGAGCACCTGATTACCTACAGGAACGGTTGGAACGCCACTCAAATCGACTACCTACTGACCAGGAGAAGTCATATCAGTCGCGTGGCCAACTGTAAGGTCATACCCGGTGAGTGTCTCACTGCCCAACACCGACTTCTTGTCATGGACCTCTGCGTAAATCCCCGTCGCAGACACGCCGAACGTTGCAGCCGTCAAATCAAGTGGTGGGTGCTGGATCAAACCAGATACTCAGAGTTTGACTCTGCCGCTGGGATATTAGTCTCGACACAGTAGGCAAGTCCGTCCAAGAGTGCTGAAAACCATTCAGACAGCAATCACAAAGACGGCAAAGCAAGTTCTCAGCGTGGCGAAAGGGGGCCGCAAAATTGACAAGGAGACC